ACACACACACACACACACACACACACACACACACACACACACACACACACACACACACACACACACACACACACACACTCACACACACCCACACACACACACACACACACACACACACACACACACACACACACACACACACACACACACACACACACACACACACACACACACACACACACACACACACACACACACACACACACACACACACACACACACACACACACACACACACACACACACACACACACACACACGCACACGCGCACGCGCACACGCGCACACACGGTGCACCTGAACCCTCTTGTGCACAGAACCAGCTGGACATTGAAGGTGACGGGCGATTTTGCCTGAAATTGCACATATGAGGCCTGCATGTTCAAAGCAACGGCGCCCGATGTCGTCTGTTTTTCCCCTACCCTCAAAAAAGGATCCAGAAAGTGGGCAGTCATTTGAGGGCCATCCCAGGTGACACAAACAAGGATCATAGATCGAAGGACATGCGTGCACGCAGAAACTGTCAGCAAGCAAATGACGCAGATCGCAACCAAGGACACACTCCAAGCTCTATCTGGGCCATCTGCTTTACCAAAACGCAAGGACCGTTTTGAACCCGCAGTCCTTCTGTCTTCTCGTTTGTCAAGTCCAACTGAGGGTCCACACAGCGCGATAGCTTCTTAGCTTGTTGGAACATGCCGCATGCAGCTAAAGTGCTGAACATATGCTCGGGGCTTCCGCGAAAGCAGCTCCAATGGGCTCTCTGCAAAGTCGTCTTGAGCGACGGGCTCCTAGGGCGAAGCAGGTAGCTAAACTTCCTGACGCACGCATGGACACATAGATAGCCCCTTCCTTCTAGAGAAACAACCGACCCTATGATCTCAGGTCCAGGCAAGGCGGTGGAAAACTGGATGCGCGGCTGACCCTGGCAGTCACTGTGAAGTTGCGAACTGGAGGCGCAAATGCAATTTATTGCAATCCACTTTGCGAACTTCTCAAGACTACCTTGTTGCCTAATCTGCTCCCCCAATTAATGAATGACCCCAATTAATAATAAATGCAAATCCGGGGCCCGGACCAGATTTCCACTCCACGCAATTGATTTTCCATTGCGCCAATACTAAACCAATACTAACGTCTTGGAATCCTTATTAGGGGGCACTTTTGGCAAGCTTCCAGCCTCACTTTTCAACAGGTGGGTTCCTCAATTCCCCAAAAAGGTCGCTTTCCCACTGGCTTCTCAAAAGGTTGGGTTCTTTTGGTGGGTTCCCAAAAAGGTTGTTCTTGACTCTGTTGTCCCTGGCTGTCCCTGACTCCCTGGCTGGCTGCGTTTGTCACCTGGCTGCGGTCTGTCTGGTCTGGCTGCCTGGGCAGAGCTCTGTCCTGGGTTTGCCCCAACAAACTACGAAACATCCTTTCTGCCTGGCTGTCCTTTTTTTTGTAGGGGTTATGGGGACCTAAACCACACTTACTCCGCCCTGGCTGCCTTGCCTGCCTGGCTAGCTGCACCCAGCTAGGCTGACCTAGCTGTCGTCTCTTGCCTGGCTGGCTCCAAAAAAGAAGCACTCCCAGCAGTGCAGCTCAAACCAAAAACAAAAAAGCAACAACATATGTCAAACAACTGCATATATATACATATATATATATATATTATACATATTTAACAACACAAAAAGCTGCATTGCTGGGGCGCTTTCAAGGCATTCTGTCTGGCTCGCCTATGCCAGGCTTTTGCTTTTGCTTCCAGGCTGCTAGCTCCTTGAGCTCTTCTGGGCTGGCTAGTCCCTTGTCGGCCTGTGTCTGTCTGACTGACACTGCTTTGTAGAGCCGCTCTTCGAAGTCGTCCAAGACGTCTTCCATTGACAGCTGGTGGCCTGCCGCTTCCTGCAGCTGGACCCACAGAGCTGTCTGGGTCCAGACCTGCCTATGCCTGTCTGTCTTGCCAAGAGTGGCCCCTGGTGTCTTCGGCATTCTCCTGCCGAGGCCTCGCCACTGCATCCAGGCAAAGCCCAAGTGGCTGCCTTGCTGTCTCAGCCCGGACTTGCCGAGGCTCCTCATGTGCACAAAAGTCTGCCAGCCTCTCCTGCTCGCTCGGCCTGGCTAGCCGACTGGCAAAACTATGGCTGACTTTGTACTGCCGCCTCAGGTGCTGCTTGGCTGCTGCTTTGCTGCCTGTGGCTGTCTCCATCTTCTTCAGCTCCTGAACTAGGCTGAGCTTGCCGGCTGCGCTGACCTCTGCCCTCTTCTTCCTCAAGCCAGGGACTGTCTTCCAGTTAGTCTTGGCTCCTGGTGGCCTGCCTCTCTTCCGCTTCTCTGCGCCGGCAACTGCCTTGTCCATCCCGTGCCTGGCAAGAGCAGCCCTGGCTTCCTCCTCTGCCTCCTGTCTTCTCTCCTCTGCAGCCTGCTCCTCTCTCTGCCTGGCCTGCTGACCAGATAAGCCGGGGCTTGCTTGCTTGTCTGGCGTCTTGCCGAACAAGTAGTCCAGTCTGTAGAACACTGGCTTGCCTCTGCCCATGCTCTGCTGCACTGGAACCATCTGCCTGCTACTGCCTGGGCTGGGCAAAAGCTCCTGCTGACTAGGAGGAGTAACCGCCGCTGCCTGTCCCTGGCTTGGTGAGCTGACGGCCGGGCGGGGTTTCAAATGAAGACTGCCTCTTCATGCCTCCCGTGCTGGCTTCTGACTGCTGAGGGGCATCCTGGACTGTCTGCTCACTCCTTGCAGCCTTCTTAGGCTCGGCCTTGTCATCAAGGAAGCGTGATGCTTGATAAACAATCGCATGTCTGATCTGTAATTATCTACCCTTCCCCCTGTCCTGGCTGTTCTCCAACATCTGGCGCAAGATGGCCATCTGGCTGGGGTCCAAGGACTGCACGAGGCTCTGCAAGGACTGCTCCGTGTGTCCATCCTGGCCACCAGTCTGGCTGCCGTGACCATGTCCAGCCATTGCTGCCGCCCAGATCAGCAAAATGCTGTCTGGTCTGAGTTTTCTGCCTGCCTGTGCCCTGCTGGCTGACTGCTGGCTGCCTTCCTAATTATCACTGAATGCATGTCTAGCTGTCTTGAAACCCACACTGCCTTCTCGAGCACTGGACTGTCTCGCAGTCAATCACAAGCTGGCTACCTGACCTGCCTGGCTGCACCCCAAATGTGTTTTTTTTTTTTTAATTGGGTCCTTTAATTATTGGGGTGTCCCTCAAAAGAAAACATGTCGCCAAAAGCTGTCTTCTAGCTGCGAATCTCTCTCTCCCGTACATGCTGGCTAATTAACCTGTCTGGCTGCAAACAAACAACCAGTAAACTGGTAAACAAATAAAATGATGCATCAAATTTCCTTATTGAACCGCTTACTCGCGGACCTTACAATTCAATCCATTTCATCCAAATCCTACGTGAACCCTCACATTGTTGGAAAAGCAAAAAAAACCAACCCCAAAAACCCCAATTAAACAAATATATATATATATATATTTTTGGGGGGGATTTATTTATAATAGGGGGGGGGGGGGCGTATTTATTAATAGGGGGAAGAGATTAGGGGCGAGGGGTGGAAATGGGTGACCCTTTCCGCTCACAGTCCGTCCTTGCTTCGCTGCCGGTCTCGCGTAGCCGGAGCTTTTGCAAACGCCTGGCACTCGCCTTTTTTTGAGGATCCTTGTTCGCTATTTTGACACATGCCCATTTGACAGCAACTGGAACTTGCGCTTCGCCGTGCACCAGTTGACAAAACAAACTTGGTTTGACTGACAATCGATGCCAACTTTCAGGAGAGCTTTAGAATGCCGCTGAGTCAAGGCTCCGAAGGATCCAACAGGATACAACAAGCATTTGTTCAGAAACACTGGCAGAATTCTGGAAGAATGGCCTGTACAATTGACGCAAGGAGGCTCACAAACTTACACGAAGCCACAAAGCGAAACAAACAGCAACAACGGTCATGAACTTGTCACACATGTATCGTGTCCTTGCAACCATGAATCCTCCCCTTTGCTTTGAGTTGGCCTTCAAGCTTTCTAAACCTATGATACGCCTACATCAATGATGCTCCCGCGAAGAACACTTGTAGGCTTCTCAAACCATAGACTCTGCGTGCTTCAGCATTCACAGCCATCTTGGCAAATCGCAAAAGCCAAGTGCCTGCCTGCAGCCGCAAGAAACGCCTTGAGAAAGAAACCAACTTGCTGCTGACCCAAGAAATGCACACTTGAAACTCATGCTGGGTATGTCTTTTTCGGGGCGTACCCCACAAAAGGGATGGCTTGTTAAAATGGAAAACAAGAGGGACAGCTATCTTGGACACATTGCTCATGTTTGTTCACACACGGTCAGTTTCAGACATTCACAATAAACAATCTCCCACCTACGGCCGCATATCGGTCTTCGAAGTGGCGCTGCCAGTCAGCGAAGCTCTTCTCCACAGCTTGACGCACCTGTGCCAACCCCGCGAGGGACAACAAACAACACAAGCGCACACACGTACGATCTGCTTGGACCTGTGCCCCACTACGCAGAAGCCCTGATTCTGCTATATATATAATGGATATGTATTACATATCCATTCCCTACCATTCCCTTTCATGCCGGCCTAAGCGGGAGAGACTCTCAAAGGATGGCTTGCCTTGCTTACGGCCAGCAGGCAAAACACCCCCCAGCTAAACTCAGCCAGCCCTACAAGGTTGAACTTTTGGGGCCACTGAAGAATGGGAACCCCCAAATGGGAAAGCCAAAAATTCGGAAAGGTCGATTCGGAATCCTTGGGCCAGTGGGGCGGGCTGTCCATAGACCCGGGTCTCATGCGCCGTTGCGCTTTGCCCACAGAGCTCGGCCTCCGCAGCTGTGAGCTGCTTCCTTGGCCGTGTCGATCCGCGGTTTTCGCAGCTTGCTGATCGGTTGGGGGCGAAAATCTACGGGTCACGCGTGAAAAGGCCCAGCGTCTTTGGCAAGTAAGGTTGTTTTGGTTTGAGCCAAGCACCATTCAACAGTCACAATCACTTGACCAATGACCAAGCAGCTTTCCATGCACATGTACAAATAGACAGCCTAAGCGGAAACAGATTCACTAACCAATAACGAAAAAAGTAACTACGGAAAGCTATCTCGATCATTCTGTCATCACAGAGATGCCCGTTGGCTCCCACCCAAGGAATATCAAAGAATTGCCAACGTTTCACAAACAGCTCACCCCAAATCGGGCTTCATCCGATTCCCCTCACCCAAACCACGTTCCAACCCATCACCACCACCTTTTTGGTCCATCTGAAATGAGGTTGCCAGAAAAATCAGTTCCAAACCATATCTATGGATTCTGTGAAGTATCCCTTGGCTGCAGAACACTCGCATCAGGCTTTCTCCCCCCAAAGAGGTGCCCAAGAAGAGAAAGTCAATCTATTTATCCAACAGTTCTTGATAAACTCTACCTAGGTCCTCCAGATTTGAGAGCTTAGAATAAGTTGGTACCAACTTTTTTTTTTGTCTATTTTAGTAGCGGAACCCTCCCCAAAAAAAGGGAAGAGAAGGGCACTACTGGGGGACCTAGTTACTTTACAACTTAAACGAAACCAATCCGTCTGTGTTTTCAGCCGGGAGGAATTTTCAGGCAGCTCGGAGTGGGCGAGTCTCCGCACTGCTCCCTGTTTAAACATGTGTCAAAAGCTTGGTTGCTGTTAGTGGAAAACACAACTTGATTTCCCAAAAAGTTAAAGTCTAAAATCCGACCCAATAGCAGTTAAGAAAATAGGGACTGGTTTTCTTTCTACCCATGCTTGTCCAGCGAGTGACAAACCCACCTCTGGCCACCTCACCAAGCAAGAAATCAGCTTGGGCCACTTCAGCCAGCAGGCAGAGAAGTACAACGCATTGCAAAGGATTCACGTGTTCCGGATCGAGTCGGAAGAAAAGTACTACTGGGACGGCAGAACTTCTCGCAAAGAAGGAGGACACATGGACATTTCACGACATTTCAAAATATAACAATATGCCTGGTCGGGATTTGGACCCTTACATTGCGGCTTTCCTTTTGATCTCCCTTTCGAACCCACCTGAAAAGGCCTTCATTTTTTTTGCGGTAACCTTTCTGGGGTCGTTTTTCCCCCTGTTGTGTTTCTCCTTTTTTTCCGGGGCAACCAAAAATGGAAACCACCCGCAAAGAACACACAACAAATAAACACACACACACACACTCAAAAACAACAGCAACGAGCCACCCCCCACATGGCGCATCCGAGTGTCTCCAGCTTGGCAATCAGCTGGGAGATGTCCTCAATGTCCCGGCGCCCCAGGTCCACATGGTCCATGGACATCGTGGACAAGGCGCGTGCGCCTTGGCATCCGCAGAAAACCGCACATGCCTAGAATATGAGGAGACCCCCCCACCCACCAACCCGTTTGGTGGGTGATTTGAGGCAACTGAAAACGTTTCTGACAAAACTCCTTTTTGGTTGGTAATTGAAGGGGGACCAAAGGAAACCAGCCTACACTGGGCAAACCCACCAAGGTTTGCGCGCGCGAAAACGCAAACAAACAAACAAACAAACAAACAAACAAACAAACAAACAAACAAACAAACAAACAAACAAACAAACAACACAAATTGTGCCCAGAATATGGAATACAGGGTATGTTCACTTAAACATTGCCCCAAGGTGGTGTCCTTTTGGTCCGGTGGAGAAGGGTTCTTTGAAATAGAAACTGCATCATTTTAAGAAACCGGATGGAATTGCCAGGAAAACCCACTCCTGTACGAGGGAGACAAATCACTCGTTCAGAATTGCAATTGCAACTTTCTGTTGAACAGGGACGGTGCAAAAGAAGCAAGCCAGGCGCCATTTGCTCTGGCAGCCCATTCGCTTCAAATTACTTGAGCCTCACATGGCAGTCCAACATGGGAGTCTACCAGCCAGAATGTCATCGCCATCGCTGTCAAAGATAACGTCAACAACCATGCAACTTCTCATTGTGTACAGCTCGACGCCTAACTCACTCCATTGGCTGAGGTTAGCTCTTACCATGTCGATTGCTGAGAGCCCCGGCATTCGTGCCCGGCAAGCATATGGTAGGGCGCGGACCTCATTTCCAAAGGCATGCGCGCAACTCATTCTGTGCTGTTCGGCTCAGGCACTTACGACTGGTCAGAACCTTCACGGCAAAACAGATTACGGTGCGGTCTGCGTGGTTGCTAAAACTGTACCTTTCCGCCTGCCAGCAGCATATGCAAAGCCATGGCGCATATGCACAAGCACCCGTGCACATCATGCACATCTGTATGGGCTGACTGGTGACAGAACTCTGCTTAGCCTGCGGCTTTCCATAGAGGTCCTTCCTGTTGCTCACATCGTAGACCTTGCCGTTGAAGCTGACATAAATCTCTGTCGAGGCTTCCCCATCGAACCGCGCGAGCTCTTCAGCTGTCAGCTCCATCGCTGCGCGGGCGCATCGTACAAGGCCCAAACACGCAGCCGATCCTTTTGGCCTAGGCGTGCAATGTTGCATGTCGTCCAACCAATTCAAGAACAGCGGTACTTTACACATGAGCTTTCCTCATGTGCAGCTCTTGGGTTGCGGGAAGGCCTGGAGTTGCTCCAAGCCACCTGGCATCTCCTGGCAGTGCGTGTCCTGTCTTTGGCTGGTGCTCACTTTCATGTCGGTGCCAAAGCCAAGCCTTGGACAAGGAGCGCGCAAGGAAAAGTGCGGGAAGGCCCACTTCCGCGGGCCAGGCAGGAGCAAGCAGCACCTATGGGAACCTTCCAACCCCTGGCGAGCTTCCAGCAACCTCCGGCACTTGCAACTTTGTGGTGTGCGGGCATCGGACTTTGTCCACTAGCTCCTGCGCGCCAGCGCAAGCCGGCGTCGACCAGCTGCTGTACGCCCCTTGATCCAAAGAAGCTAATGGGTTGCACTCAGATACATCTTCCTTTACCATGCGTGCGAGTGTGCAAAGGAGAACCAAACAAGTACAGGCATTACACATTGGACACACCAGTCATATAAAAATGAACAAAAACAAGGCTGACAAGGTTGAACCGCGGGTTTGATCAAATCCGCAATGAATATTAATGTTCGGGAAGCAATGCAGTATTAAGAGCGGAACCCCGCCTAAACTGCAAAGCAGCTGCCGGAAAATGCAGGGTTGCACGCGGCTGTCCGGCACTTCTCGCAACTTTGGCGAGCAAGCTGCTGGTTGCCAAACCGAGGATCACGCCTGACCTCAGGTGGCAGAATAACTTGCTGCGCGGTTTTCAGGACGCAAGCTAGTGGACACATTATTGGGCGGCATCTGTTGTCGAGGCTAAGCGAGGAATGATATGAGTGCATCCCTTACAGGATCGGGCCTGATCAGGGGTGCTACCGGAGGTGAGTGCAAGCAAAATCTGCATGCCCAATGATGATAGCTGCCGCTGGAAACCATGCCTGAACCACCATCCCAGCGAGCACCAAAGGGAATGCCAGCTGCAAGCATCTGCAACAAGTAAACAAGGTACTGCTCGCTGCCCTTGCCGAAACATCCTTCAATCTGTGGATGCGAAGAAGTGCACACCTCATGATTCGCCTGTTTGCCTGCGCCTGCCCATTTCCTTTGCCCACATTGCACCAGGCCTAAAGAATTTACACAACAAGCCTGAAGTGCTCACAAAAACAACACGAAGCTTCGAGTAGTATATATAGCTACAAACGTCCTCAAATTGATCTGGCCCACTCTCGAAGTCAGGTGGAATGTGCGGGTCGCTGCGACCCGAAGACCGGGAGAAGTCACCGCAGCTTAGGTGTCCTTTGGCTGATTGATGGCACCGGTACCCGCTTTCCAACAATCATAGAAGTGCACAAGGGCGTCCCCCAACTGGAAAGTAGCCCTTCCGAAACCTCCGACATCAACTTCGAGAATTGGAGGGAAGGCATACGGCCAGATGCTGAGACCAGGGCCATCTATTTGACTTAAAGGCCATCTGTGAACTCTGTGCGGTTTCCTGCAAGCCTGGGACACGGGGCCTGATTGATCAGGTGCCTGGGGCCCCCGACAAAGCATCCAGTGTGCAGGAGTCTCGCCCAGGGAGCCCGCATAAACCTCAGACTCGTTCCTGAAACGACCCACCAAGAACCACCAGAACGTAAACCCGCATAAAAGTCGTTCGGATGTAAGAACGTGGTAAAGCAAGTGGGCACAAGCTGTGTGAGAACCTGGGAGGGCGGGTCAGTGGCAAACGTACTCCAACCCTGAATGCGGGCGGCGCACTCGTCAGCATCATTGGCAGTATTTCGCAGCAGCTTGCCTTCACACAAGATTATGACATGCAAGCAAACGATGACATGAGGAACCTACCGCTCCTTCGGCATCCTCCTTACATCCCAGAAGACACCTGACATCCCTAACTTCAACCCAAAGAACCACCGGTGCCTATTAATCGGGCCTATTGACCCCTAAGTTTTCAGGTGGACAAAAGGGGAAACGGCACCTCCAGGGGATGTCAGCCACTCCAAGACGTCAGGGTCCGCCCAAGAACGACCCAACATATCCCCGAGCAAAATGGGGAGGCTGGCGTGGGGGGCCAGGGTATCCAACAAATGAAATAGAAGGTCCAACCCCTCCACCCCCATGGAGTGGCCTTGACCCAAACGTCTCAGATTTGCCGAGTTGTCGCGACTTCTCGAATGCAGAAGGCCTGTGCTATATGTATCACTGATACATTGGCAATAGCAAAGGTAGCCTGACCTGATTGCTGTATGATGCGCTTTCTACTGTGGATGGGCGAAATCCATTTCGCACCACCGTTCAGAAACCCCGGAATGAGTCGATTCCCCTGTAAATACCATCAAACAATGATTTCAACTCGAAGGTGGTGTGAACGAATTTCGACCATCCACAGAGGGGAAACAACACTCACACTTCTTTCTTGCCTTGGCAGAACAACTGTAAGCACAATAGCACCCCCCATTCCTCCCCAGGGCGATGGCTATGCCGTGCTGCACAAGGTCGAAGCCACCTGCGAGATCAAGCCTCGGGCCATCGCAAGAGGCCAACCTGACATCGACCTCCGCCATCCGACTGGATGGCTTGGCCCAAATGATTACTTCCTTTGCTTCAGAATATGTTTTGATTTTCCCTTAAGTTGGTTTTAAAGGGAACCTATCACTACTGGAAATCTTCGTATCTTGGGAGGGATGTGGAACCCCCGTGTTGGCTCCACCCAAGGGGGGGTGGCGAACCCATCTAACTAATCATCTAACCGCTCCGGTTGGATTGCCTACGAACATGACCAGAAAGAAGTGGGATGTGCAGAACTCTGTCGAAGCGGGTGGCTGGGGCGCCGAGCATCACATCAATAACGATACTGGCATTGGACTTCACGTCCCCGCCACTGCCGACCTGGCTGTGAGGTTGGGCCGGCGGTGCCCGCATTTTGCGCCCATGACGGCCCTTGCTAGGCTGCAATTTGTGTCCAGGGCTCTACCAAATTTTCTAACTACCTTGACCCCAGCTGATTCTATTGATCGTGGAAATCGGCCACTGGAAATTATACTGCAAGTTCCCCAAGCACCCGCCTGAGAGAGGGGTTTGGGCTGAACAATGCCCTGTAGAATCGCCCGTGGCTTTGATAGAAAAACGCGCCCTTGCCATAGGTGTCCCTTTTGGAAACCAAAAAGGAAATTAGTAGGGAATGCGGCTGAATGAACCCAGGGACTCCCTTCAAGGAAACCGCCAGTTGGATGGCTTTTGTCGGGGCCATTCCATTTCGCATTCCCTGCATCTGTCGCACCGATCGCAAGCCAGAAAGGACACCTGCGACCCTTGCCCCGAGCTGAGTGCAGCGGCGGTCAATCGCCCGGATGAGGACACCTGCACCAGCCGAAATCCGTCCGCAACCGCATGGGACATCGAGACACAAGGCGAAACCGCCAGCATTCCGGGGGGCGGGCCCCCAATTTCATTTTTCCAGTCTTCCCCAGAAAAGGGAAAATGGAACCAGAAGTGGAAGGGGGTGGGGATCCTCGGCATCTGGCATGAGGAAATTTATGTTGAACACCCAAGAGGTTGCAAAACTTTGTGCCTTCCCGGTGCGGTCCTTGCCAACATGTCATACACATCGACTGAATAGAACTGACATACACAAAAAGCCGTCAAACTTGTAACGGCAACAGCTGCTGAACACAAGGGCCGAACACGCCATCCATCCTGCACACCACCTCCCCCCAGACTGAACCACAAGAGGTGACGATAGAATCACCAACAAGTCACCGACAAAAACCAAGGGAACGGACCCCTGAACCAAAAACTTGCACGCCACTTCCCTGCCAAGCTGGATGTTTGAAGATATCTGCCCTTCTGCATGGTCGATGCAAGCGGCATGTCGGGAGTCATGCCAAGCCATCTTACGTGATGATCTCAAGACCTCGATCCAGTGGACTGGCCCAAAACAAAAGCAACCAAACTTTGTGCCTGCCAAAATGGTCTTCCCCCCCCCCCCCAAAAAAAAAAAGAAGAAGAAAAAAGTAAAGTCCGTAAATTCAGGGGGTGATCTTGTTTTTTCAAGAGAACCGGCCGCGAGATACTGTTTGTTCATGCGCGAAGATTGTCGCATCTCAGCGATCTGATCTTTGACCACGCTGACATGCCGTGAAACGTGTCCAAGATTCACCAGACTGCATGACCATTGCATCGGACAAACCCAGGAATGGGATAACTTTTGATGCATTTCTGCACTGATTTGCTTGAAGTCGCGGGGTCTTGCGGGGTCTCAAGGACTATTCTCCGCCTATCACTGTGTCAGAGCACAGCTCGCAAATTCCCGCCAGATCAGGAGCATTACCTTTGAAGGTCTTCCAGGCCAGCCAGCCGGCTAGTCCTCAAGATGGTGTACGCTCGTTAACCAAGCAAAGGCGTTGGTCAAGCCAACAGATCAGCGACCAGCCTCATATTGCCGAATTTCAGGCACAACTTCGCATGTTTGCTGTTCTGCGAGCACTCTGCAAATTGACCTGGACACCGAACCCAAAGCTATGACCTGTGTGAGTTTCATGCCAATTTGACGGTGGGCGTCCCTTTGCTCTTTTCTTTCGTCCGGTTCGCCCGGTTGACTGCTCCGTTTCAGCTGAGGTTGCGGCGGGGTCGGGGCTCTTGCGATCCTTCTCCTTGTGGATGACCAGCAGGGCATCCTGGGACGTCATTCCCCGTGGAAAAACACCCACAATCCTCCGGGACGCCTAGTCGAGTCCCTATCTTTTTGAAGGGGCACGGACGGTTTTCCAGGTTGAGCCCCTTTAAAACCACCAAAAAGGGGCATACTGTATACTCTTAAAACAAGACACACCCAAGTACTGTTGACTTGTTGAAGCACTGTCAAATGTTGTAACTTTCGCACTTCATTGGTCGCTTTTTGAATCACGGTAGCTTGCTCTGTTGTGGTAGCTTGCGCGTTTCCGGGGCACGCCCTTCAGATCTGAACATCGCCAGTGCAATGGCCGGGGCACTGTTTCCCTGCCATAGAAGAAAGCGGCTGCATGGAATGCAATTCCACTTTGCTAGTGGAAACGCAGCGGGCCAGAAAACGAGGCGCTGCAAAACAAAGGCATCATACATTGTATTCGGCACCCATGTTTCAATTGCAACCTATGGTTCTCTCCCAACTTTTCGGCTGGTCTGCCTTGTCTTTGGCGGGGGCAAATCAAAGCAGCAACCCTGCTGCTCTGGAAACAACCCTTCAGGTTCCTTTTGCACCAGCTGGCCCCCCTAAACCTTACCCTCCCAGCAGGGGGGAACCCTCCCCCAACAAAAGGGTAAAAGGGCACTACTGGGGTTCCCACCCTGCCAGGTTCCATGTGTGAGAGGGACTTTCCCCCGAGTCGGATGGCCCGGATGGGGCCCGGGGCCCGGGGTCCTGCTGCTTCCTGAGGCGTTCGAAGGAGCACTCGAAGTCCCACAGAGACTTGGGCTGCCGATCCACGGCAACGGTCTCCACGGGCACCCACTGGGAGTAGACCTCCATGGCCTCCTGGAAACAAACAAAAATAAGGCCTCGCGATGGCATGCGCCATTGTCAAAACTGAGAGCTAACAGAAAGAAGTTGACACAAGCTCTTCATGGTTTTATGAAAATATTGGGGGGCAAGCGGGGAAACCAGTTTCACACTGGTGGCATGCGTTGCTTTGACAAGTACTTGGCACAAAGCTGCTGCAACCTGGACAGCCAGAACAAACCTGCACGGCTGATTGAATCTCATCTCGGGGTTGATTGGCAGACTGGCGTACGTCGCAGGGCTGATTCAAAATTCCTTTGCTAGGTCCTCCAGTAGAGAGGTTAGAATAAGGGCAGCTTTTTTTCATGTAGTCTATTTTAGCAGGGGAACCCTCCCCCAAAAAATGGTAAAAGGGCACTATGGGGGCACCTAGTTTGTGCCAGAATGTCCCATTTCGGGCGTAAAGAGCAGCAAGCCAAAAAAAACAACACAAAAAACGAGTAAGCAGCGCGACAAGAGCTTCTGCGTGTCTCCAATTGCAAATTCCTTGTCCTTGAGAAATAACCCGCGAAAAAAAAAAAAAAAAAAAAAAAAAAAAAAAAAAAAAAAAAAAAAAAAAAAAAAACACGCCTAAATGGCTGGCTGAAAAATGGGGGTGGAAAATCTTGGAATCTATGCCCTGGGAGCTCCCCACAAAATCAGCACAGGTTAGGGGGGGTCAATTACGCCCAAAGGATCTCAACGCGACGAATGTCCTTATGTCGCTCTAGAGTTTTTCTAAAACCGTTCCAAGACTGCCCCATGTTCAAAGCTAGCCAAGTTGGTGTGTCCTTTCGCGTTCGTTTTCCACGCCGGGCCTCCTCAATTGCCCACAGGACCCGAACAAAAAACAGTTAAGCATTTGTGACCACCAAACACGGACCAAAAAGGGCTATCCTGAGGCCCCCTGCTAAAGCTTAACTTGTGGGGGAAATGGGAACTACCACTAAGCCAACTAAAAACAGGCCAAAGACTAGGCAACTGGATGGTTCCGAATCGCCAAGTTTGGGCTCAGAGCCTCACATCGCTCCTGCTTCACGTTCTTGCGCGTGGTTTGTGCCGGCATCAGCCGCGCTTTGGCCGCGGCCACGCACTTGTAGATGTGGCCTCTTGCTAAGTGGCCACTCGGGTTTCAAACATCTTGGCCCATGGGGTACGCAGCAAATCCCTGACAGTACTCAGCCGAGTTCCTTCTTTCGCATTCGCGGCCTTTCCTCTGTAATTCGGCCGGCCAGTCAATGTGGCGTTCAAATTCACTCTCAATGAGTTGACACCTTTAAGGGACCCCAAAAATACAAGGTGATCCGCTTTTGGCGTCTAAAAACAAGCCAAAAGGAGGAAACCAACAGGTCAAAAGGTTGATTCGCTTGAGACACCTGAGAGTATACTCAGATTCTGTTTCATATTTGGCCAGGAAGTAATTGAGGATGGACACCCAAGTTTGCGTGATGTCCCGTTTGGCTTCCTTTTGCAACAAAAGGATCCCAAAAAGCCAGTTCCCACCTTTTCCTGACATCGATATTCAACCCAAACACACCTAAAGCACACCAACCTGACCAAATCCGAAAGAAGAACATGCAAAAAGGCACAGCAAGCATGGGCCAGGACACCAAACAAAGCAGTCAATGTGGTTGCCGGGCACTGACCGAGCAAAGGAGGGGGGACACTTGAATGGTTCATCATTTGTAACCATCTTCCATTTGCTTACACACGCCCCCTGGAAAAAAAAGAGAACATATGTCCAGAGGTAGCCCTTTACAACCAACAAGGGACAATGTATCCCAATAATCGTTTCAACAATTGGCTGTGGCTCGGAAAACCGGTACCAAAGTGGAACCATGGTAAGTGGAAAGAAACATGGACCAAAACCTGCGTAACCCCTGCTGTTAATTTTGAGCCACACCCGACGCCTCCGACCAAGCTACTTGCCACCCTCCGACCAGGGCATCTGACTGGGAACCTGGAAGCCTGCGGGTGCCCTGAGCTCCAAGCAAAGAAAGTGACTAGACCTTATGAACTTTTGATTTACCAAAATGGATTTCCCCAAAAGTGGCTCAAGTCCGAAACGGAACTCAGGAAGTGAGTAAGAACATTTGTGGGGCAGGTGCCCTAAGAACGTCCAAGGCGCTGAGGGCCACCCGGCCATCGAAGTTGGGGTCCGTGTCGTGCATGAGATCTGCCATCTGCTGGGCAGACACTTCCCCTCGCTCTAAGATGCCCAGGCGCTGCCTGACGAGAGACGGATCTTGGGGCCAAAAAAAACACAGATTCAACGCATGACACCCTGGCCCCGGAAAAACAAAAAAAACAAACAACTCATCCCAAGGAGGCTGTTGAACAATGGTGGTTTTGATCGATGTTGTAAAGGGGTTGGCCCAACCTGCATGGCCAGGCTCAACTTTTGCTGAAGAATGGATCTGGAGCCCTGGAGGAAATTCATGCGTGTTTATTGGCCTTGCCACACTCAGCGATGACATGTGCAGCAAAAAGCATCCGCAGCTCCTGCGATTCCCCGACCCGGTTTCCCACCCAAACATGGAAAGAAACTACAATTGCAGCTGCACATGAGCCTGAAGTACATCAGGGAACCGCCAAACATCTGGCGGCATGACCTGTGAAACCAAATGCCATCTACCACCAAGGGAATTTCCGAGGGGACAAGGCTGGGGCACCCGACTGGCGAAACGGTTTGGTTGGTTGGGCGTGTCTCCAAAGAGCCAAACACCTGGTGTCCCTTGCCTTAACCAACCAATGTCTGGGCAACCCCAGACCCTGAGAATAGCCTGTCCTTAGTTCAAGCCCGGCAACCAAAGGAACACATGTGCCAACGATTTCCCGACCCCCTGACCTGACCCCAATGCAGCAAAATGACAGCTCAACCTGCTCATTGTTTACTCCTTATTTGGTTTGACCCTTTTGGCCCTTTTGGGCATTCAGGGCATGTCCAAGGGCCGGCCGGTGAAAAAAGCACGTCCATGGCAGTGATTCCTCTTCCAGGCATCCGCAAAATTTGGGACTCTCCCAAGGGCGAGTTTTTGGACGCGTCCCGCTAAAGAGTCGCCCCAAATGGTTTCCTAACGTTGATGCCAGCCAATACCTTCCTGGCCACTACCCTCAATGCTGCAACTGACGCGAAGGTGTGTGAAGTCAGCTGCCGAGATGCAGGCCCTCCAGGAAGTCTGACGGCTCTAAGATGCCTGCCGTGTTGGTTCCGTTTGAACGGGCCAACTGCGGGGTCTGGACAATCCGAAAAATACCAATGCCCTCTGGGATTGCTGTCGTGAACAACTACCTGCAAACTCAGAACCTAAAAAAAAAGTCCCCCAAGCAAAGGATCCGTGCCATGGTGAGTTCGCCATGGCAAAATGCAGAGCTGTTGGATGTTTTGCAGCCAGTGACAACCCTGGGCACCTCAAGTGGTTGCACTTCGAGGGGTTACACTTGCTTTTGGGGCCTGCCAACCCGCTTGAAACAACTTATGAACTTATGAAGCTGCTTTTGGGATGTCCACGGTAGACTCAAGCCCAGGAAATTCCATTTTGGGAAAAAAACACCAGCCCTGGGTTCAAGTCCTCCTGCATGAGTCAACGAATGGAACCCTGCCAGTACCAGGACTCTGCCAAGCTCAGCCCAGCTTCCCCGTGAATTTGATTGAAACGAGACCTTCTTTTGGGGTAGTGATTTAAGAATCACTCCGAAATGCCCTGGCCACATACCAACAATTTTGACCAAGACAAGGACTGCGTTCCAGATATTTCCCTGCCTGAGCACGCCGACAGGTAGCCTCAAGTCAGAAACTCCTTTTCTGAGGTGCAAAATGGGAGGGAACTCCCACATCGCCTGGCACACCCTGGTTCACGTACTTGAAGAGATGCTTCAAGTTGGCTCTTCGCTCGCGCATCACCTTAGGGGCTCATGGGTCTCCCGCGCGGCTTCCTCTGAGTTTCTCGGGTGTGGGCTGCGCAAGTCTTGAATGTCTTACTGTATACCGGAAGATCCATCCCCATGACCTGCTAAATCACGTTTTTTTCGGGGTAGATTCCCTTGCACGGGCCCCAGCAAAACATGTGCAGGGGAGATTCCCTTGGCACAATCTCACTTGTGTGGATGAGCCAAACAGGGGGTCTTTTTGCCACCTGTGAGAAAAATGGCGACCCCCCTTCAAGGAACCCTGCACCTTTCCGAGGGGGTCGAACAATTTTCAGGTGGCAAAAAGACTCCTCTGGAGCCAAACAAGTAACCACACTTCTCGTTTTACCACCAAAAAATGGATGTCCAAACGAAAGTGGCGAAAGTCTATGAACTTGAGTGAGCAAAGGGCCTTTCGGAACCGGCAGGACCATGGACCAAAATAGGGAAACCAGCAGGCTAAAAGGTCGATTCGCCTTGGGGTGAGCATAACCTACCTGACGTGGCTTAAACACACCATTTCTGGTGAGGCAAACCCCCCCCCAAAAAAAAGCAAAACCAGGCCCCTGCCTTCCGGCAGGGGCCTGACCCACCACGGGACCTGCTGGGAGCCCCGCTGGGAGCGCTGGGAGCCCCCGCTGGGACCCAGGCCCCGGCTGAGGCCGCGGCGTCGTGGAGGCCCAGGAAGATGTGCTTCGCCAGGCCCAGCGACTCCCAGGGCTCCTGACGAGTCCAACGTCGCTCGATCGTTGGGTCGTTGCCAGAGGCTCCCGCCACAGGCTACCCTCCCTGTCATTCACATCTGACTTTGTGGGCTGGAAGGTGATTATCCTCTTAAGAGGATATTAAAAAAAAAACCAAGATCAGCTGCAGTGGGTGTGGGTTTCTAAGAAAAGACAAAAAAAAAAAAAAAAACAAGAACCCCCCTGCGTTCTCTTCTTTTTTGCAAGCCAAAAACAAATGAACAATCAACCAACAAAAGCCAACGACTCGCAAAGGGGTCTTGCCCTCGTTCCATTGGAAGTGAATAGGGAGGTTTCCCAAAAGGAAACCTGTTGTCTTCCCACAACCTTCCTGTTAAATTCCATGATTGCTGGAGAAAAGGCATATGTTCCCAAAATAGTTGCGTCTTTGTGGCATGGTGGGATGTTGACAGGCTCAGTGTGTCTTTTGAAAGGCTGAAACACACGGCTGGCAGCAGCATAAAATAAACAAATCCGAATTCAATGGAGTCGACGTGTCTAAAGGTGTGTTGTGCAATTGTGCTGGATTAGTCTGAGGGAGCATTTGCCGCAGGTACGCAATTCCAATCCATAAAATACCGCTGCCGGTAGAAAACCTCAGCAAAACTGGCAACTGTGCAAATGTGATGCCCAGCCTTGGCGTCCCAGGCAACTCGTGGCCCGTCATATTCATCAGCAGCCTTGGCGCCAATACTTCTCAGGCTCAGCTTTGCAGCTGTCAGCAAAAGCTGGCTTCTTCAAAATGAGGATCCCCAATCCTATCGGTAGTCCATCATGGGACACCACGACAGCAAGCGAAACCACCACGACCCAGCATAAGGATTGAGGATCCCCATCCAATTTGGAGAAAAAAAACAAAAACCAAAAACAGGCCAAGGCACATTGCCGTGTGACATCTGAGCCAAGGCATACACCAACAAGACCCATACATGCCTTTACATGTGATGTGGTGTTACATCTGCCTTCCAACACAAGCGTGCACACAAGCCTCAAGAGCAAACGGCTCCATCCCATTGGTCTTCACAACCCGGTCAAAGGCGACCAAACCAACGGGCAGGAGACTGGTTCCGCGCCAATGTTGTCGACAGCGGCAATCATCTTCTCGTTGGGCAGCCCAGAGTCTTTCACCAAAGGATTGGAGAAGCGGCCTTCGTATTGACCTTCAGCGGACTCGCAAGAGATTCCCCCCTTTGACCTGCATCTGCCAACCCTTGTCCATTTTGCAAAACTAGTCAGCGGCAAATGCTTACAAACAACTTGAACCGCTTGAAATCCAGCCGTCCATTTATTCTTCAACAAACTCACGTGAACGAACACCGATGGCACTCCCTCCCCCATCACCCCGCTGCCATGCCTTGCTCGAAGCGCACGGACTCAATGAAGGCCTCCTGGTCCTTCTTGCGGGCAGCTTCCTTCCTCCTGCCGTCCGGAAAGCTGCCTTTGTTAGAGGCGTTCCGTTTTGGAGACACCAAGTCTTGGGCTCCAGGTGGACTTGCAGGGCATGTCGACACCCTTGGGCTCCAGGTGGACTTGCAGGGTGTAATGTCAAAAGACTAAACAAAAGCTGAGTGAGGAAATCCAAATAAAACAACAACAAACCTGGAGAAAACCCAAAAAAACAAAGTTTGGGGCTGAAACCAAAGATTCTCCCCCAGAGATTGGTAAAGTGAAATGAACAGGATGCCATCAATCAGAGTCAGTGCCTATCTCATGCAAGAGGGCTCTCGGAACGGACCGTTCTTCCTCAAGTCACAGCCCTAAAGAAGGGGATCAAAGGAAAACCGGCTCTCCCCATCGCGGTTTTTTTCTTCGCCCATGGCAAACCGGGGATCTCTGGGGATCTCATGCGCTCCTTTGAACCATGGCCCGGTGGGCCCGGGTGGTTCGCACAGAGGGCTTCGGCTTTGCCTGCTCATGCTGGGTCAGCATCTCCTGGATCGGCCGGCCGAACGGCGGGATGAGCACGAGAAAAAGGCGGGCCTTTGACGAATCAGGTAAATCTGAAAAGAGCTGTGGGATGAATCAGAGAAACCTGAAGGGCATGGCATGGTCTGGGCATGCAACAACAGCATCAGGAATCTTAGAATAATCGTGGAGAGCCGAACTTGGGAAACAGGAGGCATGGTCGAGCTCGGTCGTCAAACTTCTGTGCACAACATGCTCGGACGGGAAATCGCAAGCCAACGAGCAACCTGATAGGTCTGACAGGACCACAAGTATCTGCTTTCATGCGGGTGAGATTGGAGGTCGCAGCAGGATTTCAGGTTTCCCGGTGCTTGGTGACCCGAGGGGGCTACTAAAAACACAGGCCAACGTTTCAAATGGAAGGACCAGAATAATTCAAGAACGGCTCAGGGATCTTTACCATGTGAAGATGACTTTAAAACAAACAAACCAAACCAAACCAAACCAAACCAAACAAAACAAAACAAACATAGATTCCCTTCTCCCTAATAATAAACCGTCCCCCCCTAATACAAAAAATATCGGAGGGCTTTTAGTACTAGGCCCCCTCCCCCCTGTTTCTTGGCCAGAATTGTTTTTAAGATTTGGTTGTTTAGCATTGGAAAAGTGGAACCCCTCTGATTTGCAAAAAATGCTCAAAATGCAAGTTCCGAGAAGTAACTTTTACACAAAAGAAACCTAACAATAAAAACTTTGATATGTTTCAGATAGAGTGACAAGGTAAGGAGAAAGGCAAACATGACATCCGTGTTGTGTGTTCCTAATCACCCCAAGCAATAAGTACGGTTTGCGGGAGGGAGGCAGACAAGGTAGGGAAAGGGGTGACCCAGTAATTCGCACATTTTTGGATTTACCGGGCTTCCAGGAAGTTTAGTATTGGTTTAGTATTGGCTAATTTACAGTACGTATTGGCAAATTTTGGGGTCGGCTGGGGTGCGTTTTTATTCTTCGGGGTCCGTGTGTAAAAAGCAAGACGGGATTACAAACACGTAACCAAATCATTACATGAGTAAATCGGAAGATAAAACCAAATCAGCAAATAACACTTTAACTTACCCCTTAAAACTCCAAGCCCTGGGGAAGTTAATCTTTTACAGACACACAGCCCATGTTACCCAAAAAGTTGAAAAGTTGTGTTTTTTAAGAGGTAAGTTAATGAACTCGCTATGATTCGTGCCAACTGTCGCAGCCCCCATCCGCACCCCACTCGCCTCTGCCGGGCTCTTCAGGAGGGGCCGGTCTCGGCCCTCCGCTGTGCGCGGGCGCATCTCGGCCACATCCCGGCTGTATCGGTCGGGAGGCTGCTTGACTTGATCCCAACACCTGGCGCACGCCCTACTTAACATGGGCATGCAAACGCTTTGCCCAGTTGCCAGTGACTCTGGCGGAAGAAGGAATTTGCTTAAGTCCAATGGAAAAAAAACAACATATTTCCAGCAGTGATAGATTCCCTTTAAAATCAACAGGGGAACATTAAAAAAAGAGAATATGTTTAACCAAATGGATTTTTTGGTGGCTGACCATCTTCTACGGGGAAGGCAGCAAAAGGGGAACCCGTGGCCACCCTTGCACTGCACACCTGGCATGTGCGAGGCATCATGCAACGAACTGCTTGTTCCCCTCCACATCCCTCAGGCAGAAAAGGGTGTGTATGATTGTGTGCGGTGCGTGTTTCTGAGCCTACCCTTTTCAGTTGGAAGGGGAGCCAAAAGGAGAACCACAAGGGTATGTCTCAAAGTAGATGGACCCCAAGATTATTGTTTCTCATTTTCCTCCCGGTTTCCCTTTGAAACCAACCCCAAGAAGGTAGGCACCCCGAAAAATCACGACGCGCAACGGTCCTGGGAGGCATCAGGATGGGCTCCACCATGCTCACACCGTAGGGCCCCTGCTTCCCATCGGGGCCCGGGAAGTAAACGCCGCAGAAGTCTTGGCGGTAGTGGGGCCGGCAAGGCCCCCCTGCCTCGGGTGGAACGGCGTTGCTTTTTTTTTGAGAAACGGCATGCAGCTGAACTGAAACCTGTGCCACCTTCAGGTGGTCCAAACATCGCCCCGCCCCGAGCCTTGTTCCTGAGCTGCTGCTGTTTGGATCGCGGGCGCACCGAGATGTGCCCGTAGTCATGGTAGTGCAACGGCGAGGGCGGGCGTTGCGCATGCAGAACCTCCGTGTTGTCCAGATAGGTACGCGAAGGCAAACATGACTCGCTCCGATTGTTCCTGAGGACCGTAGTGGCCCCGCTCTTCATACTGCTGGTTTCGCTGCTGTTGTCTGCCATGGCGGCCGCCAACTGTCCTTAGGGGTCCATCACGTCATGGTTGGACCCTGCCAACCACAACTATGTATGACAAACATTCTGGATCAACCAGCACCGAAGTGATTCAATTACTGTTCTCGGATCGCAGAATCCATGGCATGGCTCGGCTTTCCGCATGCCAAGTGGCTCTCCCACTGTACAGCGCGCGCCCTAGACCAGCCCTCGCTCAGCCTTACCAGCTCGGCTTCTTCCTCGGCTTCCTCCCTTGCAGCCTTCTCCTCGGGCATGAGTTGAGAGGGCGCGCAGTACCGGTGCTCTGTGTGTGTGTGCGTGCGTGCGTGCGCGTGCGCGTGCGCGTGCGCGTGCGCGTGCGCGTGCGCGTGCGCGTGCGCGCGTGCGCGTGCGTGTGCGTGTGCGTGTGCGTGTGCGTGTGCGTGTGCGTGTGCGTGTGCGTGTGGGTGTGTGTGTGTGTGTGTTTCAATACATATCATGTAAGGCCACAATTCCGTCGACGAGACCCTCGAAGCAACAAATATTGCCGACACACAGCTAAAACGTCCATGTATGTGATCATAATTACTTTGTGGCTTGACTGCTCAAAGAACAAGGACTTCCACCGAGATGTCTGTATAACAAACCCCATGCGGCGCTTGCGCGGATTGGGATTGCGCGGAAGTTATTTTGGCGTGATTTCGATACCGCGAACACTGCGAAACCACACACATGAGTCAGTTGTTGAATGCGACAGGTTCCTCTGTGAATCGAAGCTCGCAACTTCTCGCGCGAAGGCTGCATAGACTTCACATTTTCAACTTGTTCAGTACAAGCTTAGTACGTGAAGTAGCCTTGGGCGGCTCCAGCTCGCAAATCACAACTTTTCAGTACCCTTCAGCAAGGTACGTGGGTCACGGTTAGAAGCCGAAGCTTCCGCGAGGAAACTTGTAAAAACATGCTTCCACGCGCTTGCACGTCTGCAAGTAAAGCTTGCTCAAGCCTTTGTTACAACTCTTTCCATGATGAAGCTGTTGACCAGTCAACGATTTGCAAATTGGACTTTGGCATTGTGTCTTGCATCAGGTTTGCCACATTGACAAGGGATTGCCGTGCCACACACTGTGTCCGAGCCGTGCTTACCGGAACTGATCAAAGCAGAAACGCAACATGTATTTTGTAGAATTCAAGTGGGGCTATGGGCACCTTTTGCAACGGAGCAAATGACAAAACCCTTCTGCGAAGCCTTTCGTGACCTGGGACAAGCACCCCTTGCAGGGAGCTTAGAACGCTGCTCGTTTTTGGCAACCAATCAAGCTTGGGCGGCGAGTCAAATGCTGCCGCGCCAAGCTAAAAACGGCTTGAATAGCAGCTGAAGCAGCTTGCAATGTGCTATCGTTTGATTTGCAGTGTCTTGCAAAGGACGCATTGTGTGCACGACCGAGCCAATAAGCGCTGGGAAAAATAAATTAGCAGGGATACGAGGGGAATTCCAAACAAAGGAAACAAAGTCTAAATGTTGCCCCACTGCAATGCACTGGTACACGCTAGGTGCGGGAGGGTCTGACAAACTTGCGGTGTGACATTCAATCACATGCCCGGCGCACCCGGTGCTCTCCCTCTGAACAAAACGGAACTGAGCACCGGGCCTTTTTGCGGGCAACAAGCCGACCTTGGGATGCTTCCCTGACACCTTCAAAAAGGGCACCACAAAATTCTCACGTCAAGGCCGCCGTTTTTGGGCTCCATGTTCCGTGACCATCCGGGGAGTCCACTCTAAGTGGCCAGGCAGTCCTTGAGTGCCTTCACGTGCTCGTCCATTGCGCCCATTTGCTCATAGGTCCTTTTCACCACCTTCGACTTGACCTCATCCCGCAACCTCAGACGCAACACAAATGCTTGTGGGACCTGGATGGGCGGGGCGTACCAATTTTCCTCGGCTTTCCTCCGTAACTGGTGCAGGATTCAGTCCACTGCATCGCAGGGGACATTTTTTCCGGACAGTCAACATGTCCCAAAACAGTGTTTCAATGCATCCTGCTTTTTGCAGAACCTGGCGTTCCGCGCGCATTCCCTGACTGACTGGGACGCTCAAATGCAGGAGCACCAGTGGTATCCACACAAGCTTCCCAGATCCAGTTTCAAATCATGTGCGAAAGGGGACTCAGAATTTCTGGATTCCTTACAAAGCGGCGTCCAGCCTGCAGCACTGCATGCTCCCCGGTTGTATTCGTGGGCATGTACCATCCACCAAACCAGCGTCTTATTTGTTTCTTGCTGCTTCAAAGCCAAAAACCTGAATCACATTGTGCTTTGACAGCACGCCCATACAAGCATAGATGGCCTTTTGGAAAATTAGATGGCCCTGGTAAATGGGATAAACCGTTTATCTCAACAAGTGCCATCTGTTCTTAACCAAACTAACTTAAAAAGGACAATTATGTATATAAGCTTGCTTTCTCCACGCTAGCAGCTGGGTGTGTGTGGCTCTCTCTGCCTTGGTGCAAACCAAAACGGAGACTTGTGCCACTTAGGCATGCTGGAGGGCTGTCTATTGGGAGCCTCCAGTTGGTTATATACCACTTATACAAGCGAAATCGCGGTGAATACCGCTTGAAGCTTGCGTATCTCCGTGGTACATAAGCATATTCATAGCTCCACAAACCAGACCTGGAAGTGCCCTTGACTGAGAACAAGTCCAGCACAAGGCCTTTCAGCTCAGCCCCCCGCTTCTCCTCAATGATCTCTGCGTTGCGCGCGCGGCGGCGGAAGCTTGAGACATTGCGCCACACCTGCAATTCACTCAGAAGAGGAGGCATCAAGATCCGTTCCCACTCAAGGGACACGTTCAGGATGGATGAATGGATGGAACCACGGACGGAAGGAAGGAAGGAAGGAAGGAAGGAAGGAAGGAAGGAAGGAAGGAAGGATGGATGGATGGATGGATGGATGGATGGATGGATGGATGGATGGATGGATGAATTGATGAATTGATGGATGGGCGGATGGGGTGGACGGAGGGATGGATGCATAGGCGAACAGATGGATGAATTGATAGGATCCGTTCAACGGGGCTGGGCTCAAAGGCATGAGGCTTTCCGTTTCCTCCCCCTTGGTACTTCACTCGCTGTGACACCCTCAGCGTCAGCGGGTCAACTAAAGGCTGGACACCCAACGGGAGAAACAGCAGGGGCGGTATATAAACATATCGCACCGCAATGCAATAATTATAGGGTGCGGCCAGCAAATCAAACGTGGCAGGAGGAAGGCGGGGATATTTTCAAGAAACTCCGCCAAGCAACAAAGACAAAACAAAACCGGGTTGCGCCTGCATCCGTGCGGGCAAGCTCACGCGGCAGGACAACCATGTGAGATTTCAGCAGGCTCTCAGCTGGCAATGTTGCTCGTGCACTGAGCCCATCCTGGTTTGACTTCTTGGACTCTCGCTCTCTTGCTCTCATGGGGTGGCTGGATGGCTGTTATCGCCACTGCGACGAGCTTCCCAAATCCCCTCACAAGCTGCAGCCGGCCCTGGCTAATTTTACCTCCGAGCCAGCTCCGTCGGCCGCGAGAAACCGATTCGGCGCATCCATTTCCCCGGTTGCCCTTCGAGACCCGAAGCAAATGGACCATAGGCTCTAGGCGTTTTTGCCGGCGAAACCTGGCGGATGCTATAAGGGGATAACATGCAGAAAGGGTAGTTGGGGTTCTAGGAAAGCAGTTCAAGCAATGACAACAGGAGAATTCTACTAGTACTGATTTAGACCCTCAGCCCACTTCCATTCTCGCACCTTGCTCAAACCATGACGGAGTGCCTGCTTGCCAGGCAGACTTGTCGAGCCCTGTTTTCCGGCTGCACTCCTTGTGCGCAGTCGCAGCAAAGAACGAGCTGCAACGAAAATTGCGACGGCTTTCTTGTTGGAAGCCGACTCATCTAAGAAGACGTCTCCTCACGGCGGGCGTGGCGAGGAGATACAACCAGGAAAATCCATAAGGAAGCCAGGACAGCGTCGGTTTTGCTGTGGTCAGTACAAGCAAGGCCGCCTTAGTGCTTGTCGGCCGGTCTTTCGTCCACGTTCACTGCTTCATTCAGCATCTAAACTGATTCAATGGCACTTGTAGCTGATCCTACGAAACCGCCTCTGTTGAAAATGGGCTCGCTGAGTTCAACCGAGCCCTGCATCCCTGGTTGGCCCCCTTTTGTGATCTGTGGGACGCACCGTGGTAGTGACTGCAGGGAGCCTGTCCTCTTGACCGTCTGAAGCCCGAACCTTTATATCTGGGGACCCTCGAGCCACACAGATCGAGAGGTCAAGGCAGGTTGGGGGCCCAGCCCAGCCAAGCATTCCTTGTATGCAAACCTGCGACTGGTCAATATTCCTCCCCCTCCATCCATGTCTTATTGCGCACAAGTTGTGGAATGATGGCATCGCTTGTTGGACCGTCTCAAAATTGCACTGGAAGCGACCCAACCCGAACATTGCCCGGTCCTGGGACAAATGCCGGGAGGCGCAAAGAAAGCAAATGCCACTCAGGACGTAGCAAACCTGGAAGGCCAGTGCGGGCCCCATGTTCCTCTGTTGTTGTGACACGCTGCACTTGTCAAAGACAGCAAACCAAATGCTTGTTTGCCAACTTTGCGGCTGGCCAAATTGACTGTAGGACTTGGTGGGGTTGGCGCCGCGGCTGGCTACTTGCTCATGGTTCACCAAACCATCTCAAGGAGGGTTTAAACGTAGTTGTCTCTTTGAAGAAGTTAATCACCCCGGATTCACGTCTACCCTCGGATCACAAAAACATGCGCCCTGCCCCGGATCCTTGAACCTTGCTGTCATACTGCCCCCGTCACTGTCTGCGCGGCGGTTTTTGTTGAGGCCCTGGCCGTAGGGGCTATTTAAATGCTTTAGATGCCGTGGCAATGCTTGATGAAGACCCCCCAACAACCCGAGCACCCCCGGCAGGCCAACTCAAACAACCCTCGCCCAAACCTGCTCCAACGGCAAGAGCCCGAAACCAACCCGGAACAACCTCCCAAAACAACAGCACTGAAACCGCGAAACCAAGTAATTTCCTCAAAACCTTTTTCAGTACTCTCTCACTAACCAGAGACCGAAAGCTTTCTCCCGCTGGACCGTTTGCAGGGAAACATTGCAAAGCTGATGCAAGGGACCTTCATAGGCTTGCCGGACCCGGTGACCTTCCCCCAAGCAAGGGAACCTCTTTCGAGTTGTATTTAGGGATGTTCGGAGACAAACTCCTAATCTCACACTAGTCAAACCAAACCCAAGCAACCTTCACCCAACAGGGATCCTTACATTATACACCTGAACATTGCCTTGTAAATGGTGGTGTCCCCTTATTTTGGTGGAAAAAGTCATGCTTCAAATGGGCAACATGTATCTTTTAAGGAGCCCTGTCCAAACCTACGCCAACCCAAAAATACCCCGAAACCACGCCCCCCCCCAAAAAGAAGAAGAAGAAGAAACGCAACAACACACACACAGGAGAACACAAACAAACCATGCCCTCCCTGCGTGTTTCAAGTCAGGCAGCCGCCACGCTGACCTGCAGGCCCTCAGTGAGTTCCGCAGGCGCCAGCAGGCCCAAAACCACCGGCAAACCGTTGCCCAGCCTCGAAGTCTGTAGCCGCGTAAGGTAAGCATAAAGGCGCTAACCCCAGTTACCTCTCTCTATACACACATATATCTCTATATATATATATACTTACATCTTCATAAAACATGATAAAACCATTGTTAACAGTAGTGCCGGTGAAGCGGGTTGCCGGAAGATTCAAAAATATAAGAACTATAAATATGTCCTTTTCTGGCTTGTTCTCTCAGTCCCTTTCTTGTGGTTGGTTCGCTTTCCCCTCGTTCTGTCGATCTTTCTCTGTCTCTTCTTGTTCTTTCTATCTGTCTCGCTAATTTTTGCTTGTCTTTCCTTTGCATTGTCTTGTCTCTTTCCTTTCCACTTCTTTCCCTTTGTCCTTATCATTTTCTTATCTTTCCTCTTCTCTTTCTCTGGACTTAACTTTCCTGAACGCCTGTCTGTTGAGAAAATGCTTCGCGTAGATCACACATTTCTCTGTCCATCTCTCTCTCTCTCTCTCTATCTTGTCCTATCGACTTGTGGGTCTATCTATCTAGCTAAGCGAATTCATCTAATCCGATCTTTCTAGCTATCTATCCATCTATCCAGCCCGAAATCCCATTATCTTGTGCCTATCTGCATTCCTATCTACCTTTGTGTCGAATCTTTCTGCCTATCCTATCGATCTGGCATGATTTCTCTACCTATCGTGTATCTACCTATCTGTCTGTCTACCTACATTGACATCTAACTTATCTACCGATCAAGATCCATCCATCCATCGAGATCTCGAGATCTATCCTAAGATCTATCTATCTTTCTAACTAGCTTACAATCCATCAGTCTATCTAACTATCCATCTGTTTTATCTATATATTGATCTATCGATCTATCTATCTTATAGTTTTCTATCTATACATTCATCTATCTGTCCGTTTATCTAGTTGTCGGTCTGTCTGTCTGTCTGTCTGTCTGCCTGTCTGTCTGCCTGCCTGCCTGCCTGCCTGCCTGCCTGCCTGCCTGCCTGCCTGTCTGCCCCTCCATGCATACATTACATCAGGTAGGGATGCTTCGACTTCTCCATAAACCGGCTGTGACTACCCTTGGAGGTGGAGGTCGATACTTTCCCGCTTATGCTGGATTCAAAAAGGACTTGGTGCAACTCCGAGCAATCCCAAACCCTCTTTCTCATAGGTGTCCGTTTAGGGGAAATAGATGGCCGTGGTAGATGATTAAACCACCAGGTAAACCAGGCCCATCTATTTTTCAACCAAAACAAAAAAAAGGGACACCTATGCTCTTTCTACATTCGTCCGCAAGGCGTTCATTTGGAAGCCGGAGCCATCCGCGCACCCTGGCCCCAACCTTCCCACACAAACAGCTCGGATCTGGCCACCAGGCCAGGTGCGGACAGGCAGCGCGGTCAGAGAGGAGAACACGCCCTGTCCGGCATACGCTCGGAACTCATCGGGCACAAAAGAGAATCTAAGCATTTGTTCACACCCCGCATCCGGTGGGCTATTTGCCTTGCGCCCGCGCAAGAAAACTTCACGCGAGCCAGACCATCATGATGAATCTCATCTTTCAGCAGCCGTCTGTGGAGGCCCAACGCTGGTGGACTGAGCTTTGACTGGGTCGGACAGGGGTTGCTTCACAGGAGCGTGGCTGGCAGCAAGCCGCCATTGTTGCGCCCGTTTCGTTTAGCTAGTCACTTTGCCCTGGGGGCCCTGGGGAAAATTGGCTACCATAATTGGTTGGAGATCTCCAGGGGGTACACGAAGCCAACTCCTCTGCGCGGCGAAGTCAAAACAATTCCAAGACTGAAGCAAAGGAGCTCCGTTGAAATTTGTCCAAATGCCTCAACTGTCCTCCGGAATTTCGGTTTTGTTCGACGGTTTGCAGGTTAGGAGCTGGAGGGTTCGAATCCGAAACATCAGGGAATTCTACCATTGACAATGGCTGGTTTCCTTTCGGCTTCCCTTTAGCTTAGCCTTAAGGCTATTCTCAATAAGTTAGGCGACATCCCCAACCGCAACCTCCGGAACCCTTCGCAATCCCAAGCTACTTCAGAGCCTGCCTGGGCAAGGACCCCAAGGCTTTCAGTTGTCGGAGCAAACAAAATCAAACACTTCATCAATTTTGTTCACAAAAGCAAACCAAACACAACACCAAGCAAGGGATCGCCATCCATCAAGACGTTGCCCTTTGCCAACGCCCGAGGCCTTTTGACCCGCACCAGGCCATAGGTTTTCCGCGTGCCGCGGGGCATCACTTGGCAACAAGCAACTCAGTCGTTCAGTGACCCTGGGAAACAAAAGGGAACCCTTTCTTGGGAAGACCATTTTTAATGGGGGCACCCACCCCCCCCCAAAAAAAAAAGGACAAAGAAAGGGTGCCACTGAACCACTGAGGCAAAGCAAAACTCCAAAAGCCCTTCGCGCGCGCGCGCCTGCGCAGCCCCGCGGCGCTTGGGATCCACGGAGCCCTGCAGCGCCGAGATGGCTGGCCCCAGCCAGCTCTCGGCCACCAGGTACCTTTGGGCGAGTCGCAGATGTGAAGATTTGGCGTCCTGGGTTTTTTTCCTATTGGCATCCCTTTAAAAGACCAATTAAAGAGGGGTACCAAGAAGGAACCCCTCTTGAATTGTTTTTTTTTTACAGGGACGCCAACAGGAAAAACCCAGGCCATGTTGATTTCAAGAATTCAACCCAAGGGGGGCGGATGCCAAGAGACGCATGGGTTTGAGTCTGCATTGGGGAAATCAACAACTGGAACCCTGCTTGGGCGTATCTTTTCGAGGGCGCACATTTTCTGTTAGTTGCCTCACAAAGGTAAAGTAGGGGGTTGGTCTGATGGAAGTCTTGGGTGTGGGGCAGGTCTCAGAATTTGTGGTTGCTAGCAACTCACTGGGGAAGTAACGCTCCAAAGTGATGCAGGGGTCCCCCTTTTGGGAAGGGGACACCAAGAGGAAATCAACAACTGGAAGCCCTGGAATGATGATTCCCTTGTAAATACCAACAAGCAATGGTGCGAACGGATTCTGTCCATCCACTGTCGTATCATTTGATCTTGCTCTCACACATCCCAGGTTTTGGCTCACGCGAAACATGGGCCTCAAGCAGGCCCTACGCAACCCTCAGTGACCGAAGTTCTAGGGCAATTCTTTCCAGGGATCCGAATCTTTTCAGGAAACCATCAAAAACCCAAGGGGAAACAGCCGGTGTTTGAACAGAACGATGGTTGAAAAGAATCGGGAATCAACCCGTAGAATGGAGATGAACAAATGATGGTTAAACAAAAGCTTGCGGCTCGCGAGCAATGATTACGCGCCATGTTCCCTCATTCGCTTCTTTGCCACCATACGCCCGCGGAGGTTTGGCTTACACAATTGTGGCTGGGGCATGCGCACCCCTGCTGAAGAGGGACTGGCTTTCTTTGTACTGACAAAAATGCTCAAACAAGAGGAAACAAAAGAAGAGAACAAGAAGAGAACATTGGGGACAAGTGAAAAACGAAGGAAACGATGCCCATCCGAAGGAAACCACAGACATTCTGATGACTTCCAGATTGAATTCGACAGATTACCAATCCAAAGGCGGAGGAATTGCCGATTCAGGCAATGTGCAGTCCAGCCCGTACAGGGCGAAAGCCGATCCCCCTGCCGCACCCCCCAGAATTGTGCGAAATTCCCTTGCCTTCCCCCACAACCGAATCGGAAACTACTTTGCGCCGTCACGTCTTTTGGCCCCCAACGCCTCACCTCACAAGTAGAAACCTCAAAGCTTTCGGGGGATTGCGGGTGGAAGATGGGAAGCCGTCTATGCAGTTCTGCAACCATGCCAACAAACGCGTCGCAAGTTGCATCGGCCTGCCCATTTGCACTCGACTTTGCGTTCACTCCAAAACAATGCCTGAAGCGCCACGCGACTACAGAAGGGTTATTCAACTGGGCTGTCCTCACCCCTGCTGCAAGCTTGACGTTTACTGGGATAAATGGACACCGCCCACTAAACCCAAAAAGTTTAAAAAGCTAAGGGACCGGATGGCTGGGAACCAAGTCCAGTCCTGGGAAGCTCCAGCCCGGACGACTGTGCCCAAAACAATTCGAGCGAAATCTCCTTGTGGTGGACTTTAAGCGCACCCCGGACCCCCCTCTGCATCAAATGGATGCATACCAGGTGCTCTACGCAAAGGAAAGTCATGCTCGACTCGAAGCCGAAGCCGTCGGCGAGTGTCAGGTACCTCAGTCCGTCCGACCGCGGCATCACCCGCAACACCCAACGGAAGCCAAGCTGAAGGCCAATGAAACCAGAGAGGAATGCAATGAGCCGCATGCAAACACCGCTGACCAAATGTTCGTGCGTGTCGATGAGAGAAACTTGCGAGCTGAGTGCAAGTTTCTTTGCAGCACAGCCATGCCAATCTGCATGTGGCTTCGTTCATTCAGCTCTCACTTTATTGATTTGCGAATGACCGCGCTAAAATATTCATGGGGTTGCAGCCAACGCATGTGAACCCACAGGGTACCATGATAACAGAAGTTCTGTTGAACTAGGTAAACTCAAACTCGATCACAGGTCATCGTTCTTTGCGATTCCTTTTCATGATCCTCATGCTTGTTCAGTATAAAATGCGATGGTGTTTTTTGCCACAGTCTAGCCACTGCATTTGTTGCCATTGCTTGTTGCAAGCGCTACTTCCATCGGGACAGGTCAGCAACAACAGCCCAAACTTTCGGCATCAGTGATCACTAGGCACATGCATCCACGTTAAGTCTGATGATTTCATTCGAACTTAGTGTCTATGACAACTGTTTCAGTCAGTTGCACGTCTGCTCATCATATCTTACATTGGCCAGTGGATCAGCATGTGCGCTCAAGTCGCCACCAGTGTGCCCACCAAGGCACCACAAAGGGGCAGCAAGGAGGCTAGAAGCAGCGCAGAAATAGGCCGCAGCTTTGTCTCCGAATCCTAAGCCCACCACTCGGATTCAGCGCACAGGTTCTTCTGGCTAATGGTAGTACCCTCCCAACGTGGCCATGGGCCATGCCCCAAAGCTCATATTCCTCTAAAAGGGACCCCTTTGTGGCATCCACATAGCAAGCGGGGCGTACCTGCAAAGAGCCCAACCGAAGGTACATCGAGAGCCACCCAAGCAAACGCACAACCGACTTCTTGTGTGCAACTGCAACCGCCGCCGCAAAGGGAATTCCACACTCTCAAAAAAAGAACAAAGAAGAATTACTTCGCTTCGAGCAATCCCCACCCTCCACACTCACGAGCTTACGACTGTGAATTCAAGCATGGTTTTCGAGTGGCTTGGGGCCTATGACTGCTCAACAAGCTTTGCATTGAGAGCCTTATCCACCTGTCTCTGTGTCAAACCCCACTTGTCTGCGAGCCGATCTCGAGAACTCAAACATCGGCTCCGTTAACAAAATGCCAAGCCCATTCCAAAAAGAAGCCCGACGTGGGACTAAACTAAGTTGCTTATTCACAACCCAAAGCAACACAAAAGCATCACCCTTTCCGAGCTTCAGGGCACACTCAAAACACGAAGGTGCCAACATGAAAAGTAAACCCAACTGTGCGCCGGGCGGGACATTAAGCAAAACCAGACTGGCGAGCTGCTCTGGCGGGCACTGGCAGGATCTACTGGCGAATACTGGCGAACCGCTCCGGCTCGATACTGGCCGGATACTCGGCAGGATCCACCAGCAAGGGATACTCAGCGGGATACTCGGCGGGATTTACTGGCGGGCTGCTCTGGTGGGATACTGGGCGGGATCCACTGGCAAGGTGCTCTGCCGGGAGACTCAGCGGGATCCACTGGCGAGCTACTCTGGGATACTCAGCGGAATACTCGGCGGGATCCACTGAGGCGGGATCCACTGGCGAGCTACTCTGGGATACTCAGCGGGATACTCGGCGGGATCCACTGGTGAGCCGCTCTGGCGGGATACTCGGCAGGATCCACTGGCGAGCCGCTCTGGCGGGATATTCGGCGGGATCCACTGGCGAGCCGCTCTGGCGGGATACTCGGCGGGATCCACTGGCGAGCAGCTCTGGCGGGATACTGGGCGGGATCCACTGGCGAGCAGCTCTGGCGGGATACTCGGCGGGATCCACTGGCGAGCTGCTCTGGCGGGATACTCGGCGGGATCCACTGGCGAGCTGCTCTGGCGGGATACTGGGTGGGGGCGTGGTGTAGAAGCATCGCAAACGCGGATTCCAACATAAAATCTAACAACCCCTTCCTGTCGGGTGGGGAAAAACAACACCTGCAAATGCGCAACATCTTCGAGGTGGAACTGTGCCGGCTCGTGCGTGCGTGCGTGCGTGCTTGTTTGTGTGTGCGCGTGTTGTATTCGTCTTGTCTGCCAGAAGCAGGCCCGAAAACCTCTCCATCTAACTAACACCTGTTACATGTTCCTGACCCGAAGAGAAGCGAGAACCTGCCATCTTTCTCCCTACTGCCATGCTGAGCTGAACAGCGAGTCCAGTCCAGTTGATTCCTGTTTGAGCGTGCAAGGGGCTACATCGCTGCTCTCTAGCAAAACAGCGGTAGTGAGAATCGGAAAGGATGCCACCAACACACATTGACATCTAAGCCGTCCTCAGATCCCCTGCTAAAAGTTTAACTTTTCGTGGGTTAAATGGACACCCCCGCTAAACAAGCTAAAACCTAAAACCTAAGGGACTAAATGGGAACCGCCAACATGAAGCCATGAGCTTGTTTCAGGGAGAAACCAGTATCTTCCTGCAAGAGGTCCAAGTTCGTCACTCTCTAACCACAGCCTGATAGGGACAGAACACATCCCGGGCAAGGCTGCTAGAACCTAAGGGGTGATCCAAGGGTTCTGTGAACATTTTTTCACATGTAGCCGGGTCCCAAGCTTTCTCGTACAAAACACCACACAAACTACACCCCCGCACATTGATGATGCGAAGCCCAGAAAAAGAAAAGAAGAGAAAGAAACAACAACTGTCGTTGTTGGAGACATCTCTTTGTGGTGACCCCCCTTTGGGATTGCATTCTAATCAGGTAAGGGGGGGGTACGAACTTCTAAAACTACTAAACAGCCAGCTTCAACGGCGTCCGGCGGACAGGACAGTCTCCTGCCTCGCGAGCGCAGCGCATCGGCTGCTAGACCTCCGGTCAGCGAAAAGAAATCATCGGCTTGGGTGTTGGAATGGAAATGAATGGAGCACCTGGTGGATTCTCACTTCCTGAGTAGACTAATGGTCACCCCAAAAAGTGACTGAAGTCCAGGAACTCAGGAAGTGAGGATTCCAGGTGTTGGAAGAAGAACACAACACACTCATTGTTTCTCTTCCTTTGTGGTTTTATGTTGGGATTTGTTCCGGAATTGTGGCATATTCTTTGCACCCACCGCGCCTCCTCCGACCGAGGAAATTCCGCCAGCCAGCCCTTTGATGAGCGAGTTAATCACCGCAAACCTCGGAGCTGGGTCTCTCCACGCAAGCTGGGTTGATGCATATGACGTTGCAACCACTACAACATCGGCATAAACGCGAGTCAAACATGAGCGAGGGTAAAGTCTGTGAAACACTCCGTGCTTAGCCTTCTTTGCATTATATGATGGGTCTCGCAAGTGCAATTTTATGGCGACATGCTAAGCCTCGGTGTGTTTTTTCCAAGTAATCGATGTCTTTTGGTTGCTGCTGACCCCTCAGCAAAAAGTGCTTCACTTGTTGCACGGAAAATTCCAGCTGTTTCAAGTACAAAGATCCGTTACCAAATAGCCATAAATATGTTTGCATGCAGCCTTTGAGAATCAAACCACCCGATGGAAATGGAACCTGCCACCCTTCAAACCAGAAGCTGCTCGATGTCCTCCGGGAACGTCGCACGTACTGCTGAGGGCAGCCACACCAGGATCGCGAATCCTGCGGGATGTGCCAGCAAATGGCGACGATATTGGGTCCTTTGAAGCGAATATGTCGAGTCTCTTTCTTTCGTTTGGGCGGCTCCCTGCTAGACAACCATAGGATGATCTATGATCTATGATGATCTATGTTGATCTGTGTAGATCGCAAATTCGAGACTCAGGGATGCCGGGAAACCTCTTCAGCCCAACGCAGCCAAGAAATTGAAGGGATATCCCCCCATGAAGCTGGTGTCGGAAGGTTGCCAAGCGTTGGCATGCCCGAAAGCGCAGTGGAGAAACCCAAACTTGGGGCGTACACACCTAAAGTCCACGATCCTCACGTGCACAAAAGCCCCGAAGTATGCACAACCCGTAGCTGTGGGGCATGACCTTCAAGAGCCTAAGGCCAGAACCAGTTTCCACGAACCCCCCCCCCTGCCGTAGTTGACAATGAGATCTCTCGGCATTGCTCAGATCTCACGAGGCCATGGCTTAAAAGGGCACCTTTTGAGCTGCTGGAGCTTAAGTGAACCCCCCCCCCCCCGCCAAAAAACAACAAAAAACACAGCCTGACAAGGAAAGAGCACCTCCCCGGACCAAGGCTGGTGGACCCGGGGAACCGAACTGGATGGCTGGGAACCAAGTTCGATCAAGGAAGTCGCTCGCGCTCGTGCTCGAGCCCCGGAAGCTGCCAGCAGAGTGGCCGGCCCCCCGGCCCCCGGTCGCCTGCGCTGAAGCGCAGCGTGGAGCCCAGCAGAAGCCACCGGGCGCCGGAGGGTTCCACCGCCTCGAGGATTCGGCCGGGTGGCTGGAGAGTGGGGAAGGGGGAGGAGGGGAAGGGGGGGTGGGGCAGGGCAGGGGGGGAGTTCTTGAAAAACGAAAACAGATGGCCCTGGTAAATGGAACCAAACTAAACCAGTGGAACCCATCTAATGTCTAACCGGAAAAATGGATGGGTTGCCCTGGTCAATGGAAGAGAGCCAAGCTAAACTAGTGGAACTCATCTGTTCCTAACTAAAACCTAATCTAAAAAGGGCACCTATGCCAGTGACCCTCTTCTGAAAAGGTCAGAAGAGACAAACAGACACTCTGAATCTCTTCTTGCCTGTTAGGTTGGCAAGGCTTGGTGCAGGTACTTCTCACGGCGATCGGGTTTGCAGTTCTCTGGCTTGAAGAGTGTTCACTTGTAACTTGGGTTTTGTGTGGGCATCACGTGTTCCTAAGTTTCCACAGGCTCCCAGGTAGCCACATTGAACACATCCCATATTAGCTGGAAGATGCTTTCTTGGTTGCTGCAACGACCCCGCTGCAAAATCTATTTCAACTTTTTTGTGGGCTCAATACGGAAAACCCTTCATTCCCCCCAAGTTGAAGCCTACAGACCCGCTATTCAATAGCAATCAAGCTTGTGCCCAACAATGTCACTGCAGCCATTGGAGGCCCAAAATGAGGTGGGCATTCACGGAGTATGCCTATGGATGCTTACTTGACGCTCACCTAATGACCACTTACTTGGTGCTGCCCGCGCCCAGTATGTACAGCTGATGTTGTGGGCATGGGCCTAGGGTTGGCTGTGCCCTTGTACACATTTGGGCATGGCCCGGCGCACCTAAGCCAAGATCACAAGCAAAATGTTTAGCGGGATGCCACAGAATAGATGTCCTTGCATGTTGCAGGTCGCTGTAACCATTCTTCAGTTTGCTGTTGGTTGTGGTTGGTTGTTGTTGGGTGTCAATGTGTGTGTGTGTGTCAATGTGTGTGTCAATGTGTGTCTCAATGTGTGTGTGTGTGTGTCAATGTGTGTGTCAATGTGTGTGTGTCAATGTGTGTGTCTGTCTGTGTGTGTCTGTGTGTGTGTGTCTGTGTGTGCGCGTGTGTGCGTGTGTGTGTGTGTGTGTGCGCGTGTCTTGGTTGGCTAGCTACTTATTCCCTCCTCTGCTTGATCCCACGTGTTCTGGATGCCCTAGGTGCGTGACAAAGCACCAGCCAACGCAGAGGCGCTTTATGTTGTCATTTTGCGAGTCGAATGAAGTGGGAATAGACGTCGATTTGTCTACTTCCAGAATGGTTTTCTTTGATTGTGCCCTGTCGAAATGTATGATTGACCAAGGCATCTGAGTGATAATCAAAACCCGGTATTAAAATGGTCGACCCAGAACCATGTAAAGAATAAAGAAGGCGGCCGCAGCTATTTATGGTTGAGTTATCCCTTACTAACCTTCATCTACCGTTTTGAGCACGTGGCTCATTTTATGTTTTGTAGCATGTGTTAACCGTTGGGCCCTCTCACAGGCCTGCAGGGAGCTGGTCAGAACCTCCGAAGCAGCCTCCCGTCCGCAAGGTGGGCAACACTTTCTGGTGGCCGTATCTTTCCTCCCTTCCCGAGTGGATTGTCCCAAGCAAATCCAAACTGCTTGTTTAGCACGCGAATGGCCTGCACAAACAGTTTGAAGTCCAGAAACTTGGGGAGTGAATGTCTCTTCCTTACAAACCCCAAGATGGGCTTGCCAGATTTTCTGGAGATACCTGTGCCGAATGACTGAAGACGCCTTCGAATTTTGGGCGAACTGTCGGCAGCGGGGCAGTCAACTCAAAGCATGTCTCGGGCTTGCATGGTAGGGGGGCAAAGCAAAGGAACGTCGGCCCGCCTCTGGAAGCTTGGCTATCTGACGTTGCCTAGCTGACAAACGAGTGTATTGCGTCGGTTCTTGCAACTCAAGCGAAGTGGTTCCCTGCACCTGAATGCAACATGTGACATGCTGATTCATCCAGGTTGCATTTCGCCAAAGTTCGCTGGCAAAGAAGGCAACGAGACCTCAGCATCCCCAGCGGCTTTGATGCTGGCAACTCACGCAAGCGCCGACCCTGACATCCCGGTTTGGCACATCAGGCTTGAGGATGCGGAAAAAAAATGGAAACGGAGGCAGCATGAGGCAACCATGCAAGCCGCTTTGAGGGCCCGGTTTTCTCACGGTTCACCTCCATTTGCTTAAGTCCCCTGGAAAAAAATAAACAAACAAATAAAAACTATCAGTAGTGATAGATTCCCTTTAATAACAACAGGGGAAATCAAACATATTCTTAACCAAATGGAAGTTCATATCAAAAGCCGAGGCCCCGTGGCTTTTCCCCAACCCAGCAAAAGTCGACGGCATGCTGTCAGCCAGGCAGTCTCATTCTTGTGCGCATCCTGCTTGCTGAGCACCGGCAGGGATGCCGCTACACCTCTGCTAGCTCAGCCCCATGCTCCAGCCAGAACGGCTGTGTCAGATTCAGTTAGGCCCAGCCATGGTGCCCTTACCTGGGCTGTCCGTTTTCAGATCCTTTACTAAAAGCTTAATCTTTAGTTGGAGATCCAACCACTAAACACCTCCGGAGGTCCCGCAAGGAACTGCAAGTGTGACCAACCCCACGGCTCTTGAAAGCTCGATTTTTCCTCTTTAGCTGCATGTGCGAGAAACGTGCCCACTTCCCAAGTCAGCGTCGAGCCGCTCTTCGTGCAACCTAGCTGCTGGCCACGCCAAACAAGACGCAGGTTGTACGCCAGCCTTCCTGCCAGGGAGACTCCAGAACCAATATGAAAACAATGCCAAGCCAATCAAGACAATGTTTAATCGCTACTAAGCAAATTTTAGATCCATTGACATCCGCTGTTTCAATTCCGTACTCGGAAAGGGCCACTTGGAACGAATGTTCGGCCCGTTTGGACGCGGAGAACTACCTGCTGCCCTTGTACCGATTGTAAAATAATGATTGCTCTGCCAAACAGGTGTCAATGAACACATCTTGTTGAAGGCTTACCAGCCAAGTACGCGCGGGCCGAAAACGAAACACACCACAATCAGCATTGACCAGCTCGGCCCGTCCTACATTTAAATTAGCATCTTGTGTTCGTTGCTTAAAGGTGAAACCATGGGCGTCCTTTTAGCATTTTAGGGCAAATAGATGGCCCTGGTAGATGATTAAACCACCAGGTAAACCAGGGCCATCTATTTTTCTGCCAAAACAACCATAAAAGGACACCTATGCTCCAAACTCATTGCTCCAAAAACTTGACTGAAAGCCCACAGCGCCTGCTCATCGACATAGGCGCCCAGTGAGGCGATCGCCCCGCCCAGATATATCCCGAGGCCAAAGATGGCATTGGCTGTGGCCCTGGCCTTAGGGCCAGCGTGCCAGCGGACGGCGCCGTCCTGATGAACATCCCACCCAAGAATATGGGTGGACCCTCCAAGATGGTGGCTTCCGGTTGGTTTCCCTTTATACCCCCAAAGAGAACAACAACTGGTACCCGGAAAAATAGACAAACCCATACCCAAAGGGACATGTGCAGGAAATGTGTGTTCCCCTGGCAGAATCTCTGTTTGAGCGTGTTCATGCTTGTTCTGACGGCCACAGGCAATCACGCATCAAACTGTTTTCCATTCATCGAAGCGACATCTGGGAAAAGCTCGGCGATGAGCGACAGGGCAGCAGGATTTGTAGCTGCCTGTCTCAAGCATCAAACCTCTTCTGCTTCCGTCCCTGTTGCCTTCTGGTACTGCTTTTGCCAAGCCTTTTCTTGGCTCCCTGCCTCCAAAAACGTCCTGCCTTCTTAGCCATTCTTGGAGCCTCAGGCAACGCGAATAGCCCTACTGCCTGACCATTGAGACCAAAAGGCCAAAAGCCGCGTGACACCCTTGGCGTGGACCCCCCCGCTGCGACGTCACGTCATTCACCCGGCCTGGGAGAGACCCAGTAGGGCCCTGGACAGCAACAAGGACCCGTAGGAGCTGGACAGCGCCATCCCCGCCGTGCAAATAGACCTTGGGCGCGACAGCCCAACCAAACGTCATCCACTGTGCTTAAGTTCGTCGGCATTCAAAGCTCGAAGGCTGCGTGAGAGACATGCGGCTCAACACACAAAGGTCCTAAAGGTCCTAAACAGGACATGGGCGGTGTGGGTGCGCTGTCAGCGCTAAGCAAGCGCGCCAAGGATTTTTTTAAAGGAATCGAGGGTTGGGCTGGGAACCCAGTGTCATGCCTGGCTCCGTTCGTTCACTCCACCCATTGTTGTCGTGGGTTCGCAGGCGCATGAACACCCATTGTGCGTCAGAGCTCAAAGCCCAGTCAACATATGGCCGCGTGTCAGAAATATGAGCCCAAATGGAACCCTGGAAATGGAATCCATGGCCTAAAACCTGCGGTCCATTTCCTGGTGGCTTAATTTTGACCCATACCCAACTTATGAATCGCGGGGTCGGACACCTAAACCTTCCACTCCACCAGGGGGTCTTATGAATCCGGGGCTCCTCGTGTTTCAAAAACCACCCAACACATCTTCCTTTTGCTTGGACTTTAAAAAGAGGAGAGCGAAAAAGCCATTTTCTAGGGCCCCCCCTTAAAACAAGATACCCACAAATGCCATTAGCATATTATGACGATGTCACTTTGAAGGGGATTCCCTTGGCAACCACTCGAACGGAAGCCCCATGGCTGGACATCCTAAGCTGGGGCCTAGGGCCAGCCCACGCCGGCGACCGCCGTCAGGCGGAAGCGGTCGGCGCTATCGGCCGCCACCCCCGCCCAGAGCGAGGCCAGGGTGAACCTCGGTGGGGTGACCCCTGGAGATCTCCAGTTGTGGTAACCCATTTTCCCTTTTATGGGGAAGACAGGATAGATGGAATTGGGGACCCCCCCTCAAGTTGAGCTTCACTAAACGGGCCCCGGGGAAAACCCCATGAGCAGCAGAAAGACCCCTGAAGCTAATAGTCATATTGAATGTTTCCTTTGCAAAATTGGCCCCAAGGTGCCCCAGCCCCTCAAAAACTCTAGGAAAAAAACAGCGCAACCTCCAGTTGCATGGTCTGGGCATATCCGGTTCTATCCCTCTGCCCTTTCCTCGTGTCTTCGCGCGTCGCTTCGCGCGCGCGCATATTCTCCGGGCCAAGCGAAGCGCGGGATGGTGAAGCCCAAAGTGGCGAAGAAGCCGTAGTCTGCAGAGCTGAAGGCCAAATCCTGAGCCGAAACCCTGCTTGAACATGCCGCAAGTGGTGGCGCGTCTTTTTTGAGTGTTTGTGGTGTTAAAGAATGATGGACAATCGAAAAGGACAACCGCCATGTTGGGGTCTCCAAACAAAAAACACCCCCGAACAGCTAGTTAAAGGGAGGGTCGGGTGGTTTGAGCTGAAAAAGTGTGCCTAGCCAAAAGACTTGCCAAGTGGCGTTGGTGCCAAATGGACAACGCAGCTTTGGATGGTGCTAGATGGGGCACCACGAGGAAACGGGCATCACCCAATACCGTAATACCATAGGAATAAGAACCCTCTTGCCACATGTTCAAGAACGTTTGTATGTCTAGCAAACATGCAAATATACCTATGTTCCTTTAGCGTATTCATTTCTCTACTAGTATATATATATATATGTCTAAATAACATTCATGTTTGGGCGGCCTGGGGCGGCTGCCCTCCGAAAATTCTCGTACCCTCACAGCAAACATGGGGAACTGTTGGAATTTCTGGTCACACTACTCCAGGGGTCGGGATCTCACCGCTTCTGACGCCACCTTCGCAAAAGGCAATCCTGTGACGGGGGTCATCCTGCTAACAACCCTGATGCCCCGACCTAGGAAGCAACTCATGTTGCAACGCTGTACCCCCGCAGCCCCGCCTGATTCATAGCCTGCGATGCCTGCAATGCAGCGCAATTGCTTTACCTTGCCCACATCCACAAATCGCGGGCTTACATGTTTGTCCCATTGGTTCATTTACATCCGCCAATATGGCTCAACTTCTCACTTACATCCCCGCTTTCCATTTTGACGGCTTCCAGCCAGAAACTTATCAAACCTCAGATTCCCAGTGGCCATGGAAAATAAGCTCAGGTGATATCCCCAACAGCATGCGGTGCTCTCTTTAGTGCTCGCACCACCCCGCAGCCCTTGCAGAACCTTGTGGAACCCTTGTGGAACCCTGGTGGAAACCTTGTTGGAACCCTGGTGGAACCCTTGTGGAACCTTACCGCAGGGCCGCCCCGGACCACCCCGGAGCCTATCTGGGCTGAGACCCCAAAGCTTTCAGCTGTTGGGGAAAAAGGGCACCCTTCTTTTTGCTGGTTGAGTTTAAAGACTCTTCCCCCCGCAAAAAAAAAAAAAGGCAATGGGCAACTGGGACACAGCCTCATGATTTGGGCCTGCGCGTTGGGGGCAAAGTCCACCAAGTAGAAGGGCAAGGCTCTGCCTCAGCCGCGAGGCGTCCTTTTGGGTCCATGGCAGTGGTGACCAGCTTGAATCAAGTTGAAGCCAGGATTAATAAAGCCCTGCTTATTAATATGGGAGTGGGGGCCCCTCCAAAAGTGGTCTGAATCCCCACTCAAACCAGGGACACTCCCATATTAATAAACAGGAATTTATTAATCCGGGGCCAACTTCATTTTCGATCAAACTGACACCGAAATTCGGACTGGCCTGAAACGGACACCTAACAACAACACAATTGCTTGGTTGCTTGCACTGTGTCAACACTGTGGGTATGTGGTGACAGCAGGATCCATATGATACGAAGCGTGCCAAGCGCCTGACCTATTGACACATTGTGCTTGGGCACCACCCGGTCCCCTATGTACAGTAGGCTCCATTTACAACATTACACTGACATGGGTCCCCCCGCCCCCGGCGCCAAAACAGAAACCCCCGCCCCTTTCTATGGATGCAATAAACATCCCTGCGCCAAAACGGACACCCCCCCATATCTGGTACAAAAACGGTAGCTGAGGCTAGGGCAGGCCTGATTGGCAATACAGGCGAGTAGTAAAAGGCCGAGAATTTGAACCCGTGGAGATGCGGGCGACCTCAGAGTTACGCAGCAACCAAGGATCTTTTTGACAACAAGGTTTGTCGTTTATGTTTGTTTGGGAGCACCCCCGTGTCCAATTGTTTTGTTTAATGATTGTTGGGACCTGGACGAGGAAAGCTTCATCAGGGACCCAGAACTTCAATAGGCACTTCCGGTAAGTAAGCACAGCATGAGAGCAGAAACGCGGAAAAGCAAAGCGAGCCAAGCTGAGCCAACAAACAACACAGCCGGAAATTTGAGCCCAACCAACCGAACCCACCCAACACCCCAACCAACACAGTGCTCACACATGCAAACCACACAACTTGCAAAAGTATGTAGCCTCAACAAGCATCACAAACAACAACAAAACGCCAGCACGCAAACACAAAACTAAAGAAACACACACACACACACACACCGGCAATCAAACATAACCAAGGGATCCTTCTTTTAGAAAAGGCTTCACAACCAGCGAGCGGTTGCCATTTGCCCCATGCAGCAACCACCCTGGCGACTTTCCAAAGCTGAGCGGCCACAAGGTCTCCTCTTCTGGGATCTCCTTGCGGGCCTTCCTAACATGAGCACATGACAGGCATCCAAACTTTAAACTGAGCGGGGGCCCTTGATGAACAAGGAAGGAGGCATGCAAATGAGTACCACTGCACTCAGGAAAAGGAACAACAACTTCTCAAAGCCACCTGTAAATATCTGACTGTGGACACGCTTCGCAAAGCGAAGCACAAGTCGCAGCAATCCCAACAAGTTTCAATGATTCATGCAACCCTCATGGCCTAAGAAGAAAGCATTCATACCTTCTGCCGACTCCTGCCGGACAATTAATGGCCACCCGAATCATAAGCAAGCTGCGACTGTGCACAAGCGCACACAAATTCCTAGCCCCAGAACCGTACTTGGCTTAATACCTGATGCCCATTTCAAATGGGACATTCCATGTGACACACTTTCAAAAGTCCCGGTCGTGCAGCATGGCGGGCACTCACCAAATGTCAACTTGCAGATGGCTTGCAGGCTCACTGAGCACTGCGGATTTTGATCGTGTGCATGACGCCCGCCTAGCTACATGGCGGTCGCTGGCTCGTGAAGCCTAGCACAGGGTGATTCCGATTTATTTGGAGAAACAAGCGCGAAAACAACAAAAAAATCAAACAGTGAATCAATCCAATCAGTCCAATCCAATCAATCCACGAATCAAACAATCAACCCAATCCGTCAACCCAATCCAGCAACTAACCAACCAATCCATCAATCAATCAACCAACCCAAATCATCAATCAATCAATCAACACATCAATGAATCGGTGAATGAATGGATCAACGAATGCATGAATAAATGAGTAAATTAATGCATGCATGCATACATGCATACATGCATACATGCATACATGCATGAATGAATGAATAAATGAATGAATGTGCGAACGAACGAACGAACGAACAAATGAATGAATGAATGAGCGAACAAACGAATGAACAAATGAGAGAATAAATCATTCAATCAATCAAATTTTGGTCCGCAAACTTGGCCGTAGCCGGCTTCAGCCTTCACCGACATGGGCGCTTGAGCTTTAAGCTAGCCTGGCCCCCTGCAGTGATTCTCCCCCTGCACTGATGCCAGGAAAACTTCTGCCCAACATCCCTCCCCATGGTGTGAGTGAAATGGATATGGGGGTGCAAGCAACCACCTGCCTCAGCAACAGCACCACCACCTCCAACACCCGCAGTAGAACAGGGGGTAAGAAGGGACGTTTGCATCACTTCGAGCTTGTGGTAATACTTAATGGCATCTCCGCACTTCAAGCAGGTCAAGTTTTTTCCTTTCTCAACTCATTGATGCCCAACATGGCTCTACTGCAAGGGCCTGCTTGTAAAGGGCCTGCTTTGTGAGCCTGGCTGGGGCGTTCCAAGCCTCTTCCTTGGGCCATTGATGTTCAAGCCAAAACCTCACCCTCTGCAACAACCAAGCACTAAACATCCAATCGAACAACCAACCTACCAATTCAACAATCAATCAATCAATCAATCTATCAATCAATCAATCAGTCAATCAATCAATCAAGCAAGCAAGCAAACAATCAATCAATCAATCCCTCAACCAACCAACCAACCAACCAACCAATCAATCAATCAATCAATCAATCATTCAATCACTCAATCAATCCAAGCCAACCAATCCATCCAATCCAGTTCAATCGAATCAACAAATCCGTCAATCCATCAAGCCGTCAATCAATTCTTTCCAACCCAGTCCAATCAATCAACCCATCAACCCATCAACCAATCAATGAATCAAGTGAATCAGTGAATCAATGAATCAATGGATCAATGAGTCAATGAGTCAATGAGTCGATGAGTCAATGAATCAATGAATCAATGAATCAATGAACCAATGAACCAATCAATCAATCATTCAATCAATCAATCAACCAATCAAATCAATCAATCAATCAATCAATCAATCAACCAACCAACCAATCAACCAAACCAACCAACCAACCAACCGACCAACCAACCAACTAATCAATCAACCAACCAACCAACGAATCAATAAAACCAATCAATCAATCAATCAATCAATCAAGCAACCAAACCAACCAACCAACCCAACCAACCAACCAACCAACCAACCAACCAACGAACCAACCAACCAACCAACCAACCAACCAACCAACCAACCAACCAACCAACGAATCAATAAAACCAATGAATCAATGAATCAATGAATCAATGAATCAATGAATCAATGAATCAATGAATCAATGAATCAATCAATCAATCAATGAATCAATCAATCAATCAATCAATCAATCAATGAATCAATGAATCAATGGATTAATGAAGCAATGAAGCAATGAAGCAATGAAGCAATGAGTCAATGAATCAATGAAGCAATGAAGCAATGAGTCAATGAATCAATGAATCAATGAAGCAATGAGACAATGAATCAATGAATTAATGAATCAATGAATTAATGAATCAACCAACCAATTAATCAATCAAAGCAAGCCAAGCCAATCCAATTCAATCGAAACAATAAATCCATCAATCCACCAACCCGCCAATCCAATCCAATCCAATTCAATCGAATCAAGAAATCCATCAATCACATCGACCCGTCAACCAGATCCAATCCAACGACATCGCATGAGTAAACCCATCAATCAAACAATCAATGAATCAATCAAACAAACCAATCAACAAGCAAACAAAGCAACGGAAAACAAACCCAAAAAGAAACAGCCAACCAACCATCAGCCAAACAAACAAACACACAATCAAACAACACAGACCAACCAAACAAGCTCAACTGTTTGCACATTTTGCGGTCACCATGCCTGTGCCCATACACGGGTAAGCAGCGTCGAAGCCACAGCAGCCACCATGGGTCCGCCTGCGGACTCGGTTTGAAATGGGTAATTGGATATGAAATCCACACATGGGTGGCTTCCATTCACATTCCCCTCAAAACTATCGAAACTGACCCCACACACCTTGGTTCAGAAATTCTCATGCGCATGGCACTTGCTTGGGCCAAACTCAAAAGAGGCCCGTATGGCTCTCTAAATCCCTTGGCACCGTCAAATTGTCAAAGGGCCGAAGACCATCCCCCCACATCTCCAGCAAGGAAATGGTTCGGCCCCCTGCGAGCAACACACGTGTCACGGGGCCTGGTTCAACCCATCCTAAAGGCTTTGGACCTGGAAAAGGCCTGGACAGCACAGCATGGAGCCCAAATCCGTCTACTTTCGAAAGGGCCCCGGTAACAAGCTCCATGAATATGTCGTTGGCTCGGGGTTCTCTCTTTCAATCAAATTGCTTCAGCCTTCGTCCTCCAACCAAAAAGAATATGATTAATTCTCGTCAATACGCAGAGAACCCTGAAATGTAAGCTAGTTTCACGAGAGATTCCAACAGCCTCCGGCCAGCCTGTGCAAGCGGTGAAAGTCGGTGGCTGGCGCTTGCAGCCCCAAGATGTCGCTCGCAGGGAATGACCTGGGAGAGGCGAGTGCAGTGCGAGTGCAGTGCTGCGTCAATTTCCCCCTGCCTTAAGGGGCGGTACGTGGGGGTGGGCTGTTTTAATTCTTGCGGGGGGGGAGGGGGGTTGGACAAGGTTGAACAGTTGAGATCCACGAAACTACCCTCTAAATGGTGGTGAAAAGGGAAACCACTCCCTAAGTAATTTAAGAACACTCGCTATGTTCACCTTAATGGACCCCAGTCGTGCGCTCCACTGGTCATAATGCATGGCTGGTCTTGCACCTAAACCATGTGGATAAGCCTGAAGCTTCCCTCACTTGCAAACCGTTATTGTAAGCCAGCCAGGCCGCCCAGGACAATATCCTTGTCGCTTCGATTTTGCTGTAGGATGTTGCAATGACAACCCCCCCCCCACTTCGAGAACAAGCGTGTTGTCAAAGGTACTTGCAGAGAAGTGCTCATTTAAGCAGCGACTAAACCTCTGGTTAGTACTTTTTTTAGAATAGGGACTACTATGATCCCTATTAAACCTGCTGGCATGGCCCATGGGGGTGTTGGGCGTTGCATGCACCTTCCAGAATTCAAGACCGACCCAGCCTTGGGCGCTAGAAAACGATAGCGGCACGGCGGCCATGGCAAAGCATTTCACGGCCCAACCCCCACAACGACTGCTGGCGGTTTCTGCTGGCTGTTGCTTCGCTGGGCAAGTGCACCAGAAAATGGCTATGGGTCAAACCCAAATTGTACCCCCAGTGAACAATCCCAATCCCCACTAAAATAGCTTCTAAAATGGGTGGTGAACTCACCTACCAACCCAACATGGGATCCCAATTTGTTTTGACAACCACGGCCAAATGGGTTGGCTTGCACGCAAGGCAACTATGGCCCGCATCCGAACGCGGATCGGATTCCAGGTCTCCCCGAGCGCTGCGCACCCTCGCTCCTTCGGCTGTGAGCCGAAAGCCGAAGGCAGCGGGCAAGCGCAAATGACACCTGGCGTTAGGGCCCCAGCAAAAAAATGTCCTGTTTGCCTGGTTATATAGTGGAAAACAAAGGGACCCCCCCCCAAAAACAAAAAAACAGACAAAAACAAAAGGGGAGCTAAGTCTGGGGAAGAAACAATCACGGACACAAAACGGCCCACGAGATGGATCGGACCAAACACGTAAAGCCTTGCAAGGCCCAGCCTTGGTGCACCAAAGGCATCTCTCCATGGCCAAAGAGTGGCCCTTTCGTATGCCAGGTCTGTTCGCAGCTGCAAGCTTTGCGCCACTTTCAAACCTCGCCCTACACAGGCCCCTGGTTTTGACACACCCTACGAATTAATCGTGGCCCCGGGCCTGCATCCAGAACTTGGACCAAGCGCCTTCCTGCAAGCAGCGCGCCGGAAGTTTCCGAACTGGAGCCTCCCCCCCCTTCTTGGAACCACTGCACACGTCTCCGATTCGGAGACCCACCAAGCAGTTTCACTTCAGGTCCCGGGAGCCGTTTTTTTTTTCCCCCTCGAAACGCGGTTTTGTGAACTCTTGCCTCTTTCTTCAACCCGTCACCCTTCTCATTTAAGCCGCCCGGAAATGGCCATCCTGCCCTCAAAGGGGAAATGGCCATTCTCCGACGGCAAACCCCCCCAGTGGCAGATTGCATGGATTTCCCGGCGTGGGTTGGCCAAACCAGTTTTAGCTTTTTGTTTGCCGCCAAAATGGCTATTGAGCAGGTTGCCCAACCATGGTGCGTAAGGAGCTCAACCCCAGTTGCTTGATTCATCAGCATGGTCACAACCTGAAAGATCCTAAAATCTAAGTTCCTCTGGGTTTTAAACAAGGAGTCTAGCGGGGGAAAAAAAAACATTAAAAAAAATAACCATCCCGCCCCCTTTGGATTCCCTTTGGGGTACATTTACATTGTGGGCCATATAGGAAGCCGCACATAACCATGGTCATAAAGTCTCAAAATAAGGGACACCCCCCTCAATAAAAATGGCCATGCTATGTTTGGTTTGGTTTTCCTTTAAAACCAACCTACAAGGGGGTTCCTCTCAAGGGAAAATTCGAACCACCCATCTGACTCCAAGCTAGGCTGGAATTAGGTAGGACCCCAGCATTTTGTTTACCTGGATCTTCGTCCTCCTGAGAAAAAAAAACGTAGTTTCCGCCTTTGACTGGATATTCGGGAACTCGTAGCACTTTTCGCCGCAAAAACCTGAAGCTCCCAAAACTCCTAAAACACACACTAGTTCAATGCTCGCGGCCTTTGACAGATGAAAAGAAGCTTAGCAGGGGTAAACGACTTAAAGCAGCCCGAAAGTTTGTCAACACATGCAACGGCGGTCCAAAGTTGTGCGGTGCAGAAAAAATCGTACCCATTTTGAGCGCAAGACACCCGCAATTTTCCCGCAAACTCCCGCAAATCAGAAAAAGTCGTAGATTTGATGATCAAGGCATCCCATGGGGTTCACTGGCACGTTGGCAAGTGCTGCGAGGTGTGTCTACTTTGTATGGCCAATGCACGACTGGAAACGACGCAACTCGTATGTGTTTTTGCGCAAATTGTAGCTAAACCACAGGAATTCAGTAAACCGTAGGGGTCTCCTAAAACACCCAGAAATTTCCCGGAGTTGGAAGGTCCGGGTAATGTTTTTTTTGCCTGGTTAGTGGAAAACAAAGGAACCCCAAAAAATCCAAAAAAGCAAAAGAACGAAAAGGGGAGCTAATTCTGGGAAAGCCAAAAGCTCCTGACCAACCGACCCCAACACGACTCCCGCACGCCTGCAGGACGCGGCCCTGGTGCGACGCTAGCTCCTCACCTGGCGCAGTTTTCTAGGGGTTGATTCAAACCATGTTCTTCTCCAGTGAAACCATGTTCTCTAGAGATTGGCACTTGCGATGGTTCATCTCCATGTGCTTCTTTGCGTGCTTCTCTAGGGGTTGATTCCCCTTTCTTTTCAAGCATCGTTCTTTCCAAAAACCGGCCGTGTTCCCTCGGTTTCCGGAGGTTTTCTGGAAAGAAGGATCCCTGGAAAGAATGGCAAAGGCACCCCTACAAGTTTGGTGGTTGAGGAGGCGTTTCCCATGTCAATGTACCCTCTACAAAAGCCAGAGGCTCAAAAATCCGAAAAAAAACACCCACTAAGGGTTACCTGAGCATGGGTTCAATCACTCCGAAATCGGATGCGGAAAACACATTGCCCTGCGCAAGCGATCGGATTCCATTTATTAGAACCTGAAAGTCCCCTGGTTTTACTAAGATGGTTTATACAAATAAGGCAAGGATGGTTTCGCCTACTGAATTGGCCTACGTGACCATGTAGGTCAAAGAATGACTCACCAAACAGTTGCGGCCATTCCTGAACAAATGATTGGTCTGGTTTGCCACTGGTGGGGGGTACGTTTTTCGGCTGATCCGTGAAACCCACAACTTCTCCCTCCAAAGTGAAGAGTAAAATAACACAACAAACCTCTTGGCAAACAAAACAGCACGTTCTTCTAGCTTCTTAGTAGGCAATGAGCGCACTTGCCTCGCATGCCCCATCGGAGAACCGTCCGAGAGCTTTGGAAGGTGTCCACAACCTTGCCAGTGCTTCACGACTGGGACCCAGTGCGCCACGTGGCTGGTCTCATGCAAAATGCCGAGCCCATCCGTGAGGCGCCAAGCTGAAGGTTGCTGTGAGACATGACCAACTTTGATTTGATGTCATTTTGCGCCCATCAACATGCACTCCCTCGGACGTACAGCCAGAAGAAATCCGACAGCACGACATAGAAATCCAAGTCTTCCATATCATAATATCGGGGTGGGGGCTTCCATGAACTCGCCTGGGGGATCAGGTAGGCTCGCCTGTATATTTATCTCTCAAGCTTGCGGAAGGCCAGATGCGAACTCGCGCTAAGCCGCGCTAAGCCGCGCGCAAGCTCCAAGCCTGTGGTGAATGCCAGCCAACTACCGCTTCGTGAGTCCCAAGTTCTTTGCCCCAGGTGAAATCCTTTGGGTTGGGGTGCCCACAAGATCCCAAGTCTCTCAAGTGTCAGTGAACTTTGAAGAAAAAGCCCAAGGGGGCGCAACTCATGACCCTTGCATGTCAGTCAGCATGGAGTGACTGCGCAGTGTTTCGATCCGCACAGTGCCCAACTCGAGCATGTCCCCGCACGCGGCAAGCTGCGAATGCTAGCTGCATTCAAGCTCGCCTTTGCCAGGCTCAAAGAGCTTTACCGGCATGGAGGGCAATCTGCAAACAGCCTCCAAGCAAAAATGTTCTTATCGCCGACCCAGGCCAAGGGGCCTCGGCTCAGTGCAGGCATAAGCGCTTCAGGAAGAGCGCTTTTGCCACGACGGTGCCAGAAGAGCTGTTCAGCCAAGTCTTAGCTGCGCTGGTCTTTGACCGAGAAAGTGAAGCCTTTTCGACAGGATAAAAGGGCAACAGGCCGAATCAAAAGAGCATTTTGTCAAGTTGGCACCGGTCTGGAACCATCGGAGCACCGTTGCTGAAACAATCGGCGAGCGGTTGGCTCTCGCTTTTTAAAGTACAGCGCGCCCCTTTGCTCTGCTTGCCGCCGCTGTGCTGCTGGCCTCTGGCCGTGAACTCTCCACGAGGGCGGAGAGTTGCTCAAGGCCAAGGGGCTTAGAACAATATTGCCATAGCTCACTGGCGTCAAGTCCAATAAACCGCAAATGTCCCTCTACTTGATGCGGGAAAATCCAAGGGACACGCACTTGACAGTTTTACTTCAGTTAGATGCAGCCAATTCCCATGGCAAACAGCTTGGCTGAAGGTGATTTCCTGGCTGCCTTCCGCCATGCGCGCCCAGGCCCTTTGCGAACAAAGGGCAGGAATTCGAAACACCCACAGACCTTCCAAGGGCCTTGGAAGAAAAAGCCCCCGCTTGCGCGGCCCATCGCGGCCCTTAAAAGAAAAAGACTCAGGCTTTCTTGCCAGTCCGGGTTGCCCTTCTGGTCCTCAACTCACCTTGGCGCGGGATTTGCAATGACGCGCTAAGCGTGCCACTCGCCCAGTAGGCTTGAGCACGCTTGCGCATATCGAGTGCATGTGAAACAAGGTACGCATTGCATTTTGTGTACATGCACGTGTAGATGAAGGCCTCTTCCATGCTTGAAGTCATGAGGTTGCAGGGCGGTACAGCGCTGATCCCAGCAACTCTCCAGGGCCTTCGTTCAAAAGGAAGCAAAAGCCCGCGGCATGCCGCATGCACCACGGAAGTTGACGGTGCCAATCAGGCAACGAGAGGTGAAAACTGCTTTGCTCGCTTAGAGTCTTCGAGGAGCTGCGCCCGAAGCCCCACACAAGTTCAGCACCAAGTTCAGCACCAAGTCAGGAGCCGACGTGCAACTGCCCAGCTGTATTTTTTATTGCACTTGTCTAAAGTCTTGCTTGCTTGTGAGGTGTGAGTCTCGTTTACCGTTTAGGATAGCGGCTGGCTCCTTGCTTCTGCAACTTGTGCAAGGCAACTAGCGACTGATCATGAGCTACGCTAAAATATTCGCAAAAAAAGGCAATCACCATGCACAGGTTCTTTCATATGGGTGTCATTGTTTTAGTCGGGACCGGGTTGTGAACTGATAGGCACCAACCAAAACAGTTGACCCATTCTCTTGCGAGCTATGTGTGTGTGTGTGAGGAAT